AAAAAAATTAATCATGAATTATTGTTGTATTCGTGTTAGCGTCCAGCATTGGGTCAAAATTAATATGGTCTCCCGACCAAAGCAACTAAATTGTCCTTGGGGTGACACTCTTTTCACTTATTATAATTTTACCTTTAAAGTTTTATATCAAAAACGGCTTTTTGCACAACATTAATCAAATTTATTTTTCTATTTTATTTATTCTCAACAAATCTCTAAAAGTGTGCAATCCAACTCTTTTTAGAAAACTCGCCATTTACGATTATTGCTCAATTTTACAGTAAATCTTGATACCTGCGTTTCATAAAATAAGAAAAATTATGATTATTATTAATGCAAAATACTTGCTTACTTCCAGCAAATTTTAAACTTAAGTCTAGATGAGTAAGACCCAAGGGAAACGAATACGTATAGTTTCTTTGACGCTTATAACGAATTTGAAATTAATAGTGCTTGGACCATTCCAGTACCTAGTAAATATTTAATGTCTATTAATTACACACTTTCACTGCCATAAATTAATGGATAAAATTTATTGCAGAGCTGAGTCTGTTGTTTTTTTTTTCTTTGACTGGGAAACAAAAAATCACATGGGACCAGATCAGGTGAATAAAGAGGATGAGGTAAAATGGTAAACATTGGAGTCCTTGCAAGGTCAAAAAATCGGTTGTTCTTTCAGAAAAGTCTGGAAAAACATTTATGGTATTTGGACGATTTTTCGTCATTTCAGGTCTATATATAGTTATCCTTTTTGTAGTCATAATAAATTTTAGCTCTCACCTTTCCTGCCTCATTGCACAATTATGAAAATTGCTCCTCTATACTTGCTTGTTGTTCACTTAATACTGCTAACTGGGATTATTACCACCAGAGAATATTATTTCTAAACCTGTTCCTGTTAAAGTCTGTGGAAACATTAATATGCAAAATGCTTTATCTGGATGCTTTCCCTGTCACGCTCACTTCTAATTTGTGAATATAATTGCATATTTCCTGAGTCCTAAAGTTACATATGTGGACTAAATTGTCATGAGTAACGGCTTTTCATTACAGATGATAATGTTGCAGGATAGGATCTCGGTTCACCGTATCAAAACAGAATTATTGAACTGTTGTCAACACTATACTTAAATAATAAATAAAAATATATCGTTATTAATAGTTTCAGATAACTCAACATTTTTATTTTGATTTTAGCTCTCTTATCTTAATAGGTAGATATACAAAACAAAACCATCAAAATTCTTGTTTTTTTTATTTTCCAATTTTTTTTATCAGCATTTTATTGACAGTTTTTCGCTAACGAAGTTCACTATATTTTGTATATTTACTTTAATTCAAATACTTAGAAAAAAATAAGAATTTGGAGGTTAATTCGCCATGTCCCTGAGACCCTAACTTGTGACGTCACGTGTACTCTCACAAGTTTGCGACTCGGGTATTGGCGGTTAAACATTACTTCTTCCTCTTCTTTTTTCCTTTCGTATTTACTACCATGTTTTTCACTTTACCGTACTTATCTGTTTGCCTAGTTGAAAAAAATTATAAAATACCTATTTATTAAAATTTTATAAAATTGTATAGTCATAAAAACATTTTTAATTTTATTCTACTGGGCATACTAGAGTATTTAGTATTTTTTATGTATTTGTATTATCAATTTTATCGATATTAAATAAACTAATGTAAAGTCTATTTGTGATATTTTTCGAATTGGTGAAAGTTCGAATAACAAAAGAAAGAATTATAAAAATTAGAATGACAAAACTTCGAAATTACAAAAGACCGAATGACAAAACTTCGATTCTAACAAAGTTTGAAATTGAAAAGGTTAAAAGTGAGAAAAGATTGAAATTAGACCAAATGATCGATCGATCGCATATAAGAGAAATGAGGGGTACCTAATATTTTAATAAGCACCAGATGGCTGGCGTTCCTGTAACGTGAGGTATCTGGAACGATCTGTCAAAAGACTTTTATTTTATTCGAAAAATAGTTGGTTCTTAAACATGTTCAGTGGTGCTTCTCTAGCGGGAAAAAAGTTGGCTTGGCTGCCGATTTCTGCCACAAAAGCCTATTTTCATTCCGAATTTTTGAATGTAAGAAGCTCCTTCCTTCTCGGTAAACAAAGCGCGAAATAGTATATTACGTAACAAGAGTTGTAAGTAACCCATTACGCACGAAGTGGAAAAGTTTACGTACGAAGCCGCACAGCAGCGAGTGCGTAAATTTCACGAGTGCGTAATGGGCTTACAACTCGTGTAACGTACGCCCACTTAAAACATTCTCAAAAAAGGATTTAACGTTATGCTTGTGTCGCCAATCCATAAATTTTCGATAGGTAATTTCGTACATTTCTTTAGATTTTAGCGGTAACAAATTATGTGTGGCAGCTTGAACTTTTTCTAAAATCTCCGGTGGAGTGCTCATAATTTCATTACTTTCACTGCTAACAAACATATTCGTAGGTAAAGTTGAGAAAATGTTCGGATACAATCATATTTTGTTACAAAAATTGACAATATAAATGGCATGACGTTTATTTCCATAGCATATGCTAAGAAAACGCGACATATTGTTTGAAATATTGTATAATATGTTGACGACATTTAGAGGCATCACTTTTTTAATCCAAAATGTATCTCGCTAATGCTAAAAGTTCTTATGTTTTTTAAATGGCTAAATTTATGTAAATAGACCAAATAAAGTCGTACGTTGACAAAAAATTTGATTGCAATTTGATTAAACCAAGAAATTAAGTTTTCTTATCAAAACGCACGTGTATGTTATGACATCTCATTAGGTACGTGCATGTTATTGTGAAATGTCATTTACAAGGAATATTGATAGTGCGATTTTTAACGTTTACTGACATGGGCGTAGAAAAACAATGTTTTTTCGTGGAAAAGGGAGTAGCAAGTGCTATACTCTTTATAGGAAAGTATAATTATCAGAACTATGGCAGAACTGTTCATACCTTATTAATTGTTTGTTAGGTATATGTGTATATTTCATTAAAACAAAGTGAGGAAATTACTATTTTTTCTACGCCCATGTCAGTGAAAGTTAAAAATCACACTATCAACATTCCTTGTAAATGACATTTAACAATAACATGCACGTAATGAGATCTCATACAATACACGTGCGATTTGATAAGAAAACTTAAATTTCTTAGTTTAATCAAATTGCAATCAAATTTTTGTCTACGTAAGACTTTAGACAACGTTAGTACCTATAGAGAAGGTAAAAGTTGAAAAGTCTTTTGGTAGGTAGAGAGGGGGTGAACGTCAAACCACGTCGGGCGGCTCCGAGAATTTCACAGTAATGTTTACCAGACCTGCCAGTGTCGTTTCATAGAATAAGTAATTTTAAATTGTTATCGGCGGAACCGGACAATCGCATGTATTTATGGATTATAAATAATTATTAAACATGTATTATAATATTCAAATTATAATTTTACAAAATTTCAACAGCTATTCACAATTTATTAAACTATTTACTCTAAATTGTTATTAACATCTATAAAATAATTTTGTACGCCAATGTATCGCGCCCACTTCGGTGAGATCCACTGCCAACCTGTCAATTTATGTGTATAAAGTGGGAGAACTGGCAAAAGCATTTCCAACTTTTACTTCTGTTCTACTATATTTGTAATTTCGATCATATTGATTTTCGAACTTTTGTACTTTCGAGAAATTTTCCAATCGAATTTTTGATTTTTGAACTTTTGTTTTTTAAACTAATGTTACGATTTCTATTTGTCCGTTTTAGAAGCAGTAGGTATAACCAAAAATGGCTGTCAGACAGTGTTGCCAGTCTAGTACAATTGTACTAGATCTAGTACATTCTCTGAGAATATGGTACTCTAGTACACTCGAAACAATATCTAGTACTTTTTTCAGCTTAAGTTTCCATTTGAAGTGTAAAATATATTGGTCAAAAATTGCAAGAGAAATTAAAATAGTTGTTAAAAATTACTTCAGAGATAAAATAGTAGACATTTCTTGAGAGGTAAAAAACGGTGTTAAAAATTGGTCGAAGTATAAAATAGTATTAGAGTAAAATATGGTTCAAAAATTGCTCTAGGGATAAAAATACTGTTAGAAATTTAATGAGAAATAAAAATATTTAATAATTTTTCCAGAGATTAAATAGTATTATAAATTGTTAAAATCGTGTTCAAAAATTGCTCGAGGTAAAATAGTATTACAAAATGTTAAACCCTTGTTCAAAAATTGCTCGAGGGATAAAATACTATTGAAAAATGCTCGAGAGATAAAATATTGTACAAACATTGCTCGAGATATAAAACATTGTCAAAAATTTATCGAGAGTTAAAATATTTTTATAAATTTGTCGAGAGTTAAAATATTGTGCAGTTTGCTAAAAAGATAAAAAAAGTTGTTAAAAATTGCTCGAGAGATAGAATACTGTTAGAAATTTATCGAGAGATAAAATATTGTTTCAAAATAGCTGAAGAGTTAAAAAAAGATTTAAAAACTGTTCGAGAGATAAAATAGTATCAAAAGGTATTAAAATCTTATTCAAAAACTGCTCGAGAGATAAAATAGTGTCAGAAATTTGTCGAGAGATAAAATATTGTTTAAAATTGTTGTGTTCGTGTTTTCTATAAACCTTTTTTGGCTCTTTAATGACCATACTTCATAATTAGAAAAATCTGGTAATTTTATAGAATCTAGTCCATTTTTATGAAATCTGGTACATTTTTTAGATAAATCTGGTACATTACAAAAATATATTCTGGCAACACTGCTGTCAGAAGTCGGAAATATTCGTTTTCAACAATTTAAATATCGAATTCGCAGGAACAAAAATAAAGTAATTTTATAAATTATTTATGTTAGGCAACATATTTGAAAATGGTCTACAAAAGATTTATATTTTTGTTAACAGCTTTTTTTATTTCAATATTTCCCCCACTGGTTTTTGTTATATAAATTATAAATATAACCTCACATTTTTAATTTTAGGTTATGACTAAGATTCTGAGAAATGGAACCAAAAGACGAAATAGATATTAAATTATTACTAAACTATCCTCTAATATCGAAGTCTGTCGAAGATGATTCTATAGTTTATAAAGGTATAATAGAAATTGATGTGAGTAACTAGTTTTGAGTTTGTTTTCATTCGGTAATTCAAGTTGCCTTACGAGTTACCTATGGTTGTTACTTTTTAAATGTTTGTTGATTTTAGGATGAAGACTACAGGATATGTATTAAACAAACCTTTCCAAATGACTTCATATTAGAACTTCCATCAAATCTGCAATCTCTTGAAGAAGGTTTTGGAGATAATGCACATCAAACACATGATATAATTATGTATTTGGATTCTCTGAAGAAATACATATCATCTAAAATACCTTCAAAAAAACCTCAAAATCATTGTGAGACTTACCGACAAGTATTATACGAGTTCTCTGAATTTTCAAAATTTTACTTAAACTTAAAATCTTGCTACCTAGCCTATGATTTAAGTAAAGTTAGTGTTACTACTTTAGATGAGCAAAATCGGGAACATTATATTGAAATTAGAGTCGATTATGGAGACAAAAAGAACATTTTTGAAATCGCAGAGTTTGATTTACCTTATGAAAAGGATAAATTTAAAAAATCGTCTAATTTAAAAGTTGTTTATAACCAGTTTGTAGATGTCATCGAAACATTACAGCCTTTTTTTAGTTTGATGGAAGATTTTGATAAAAATTGTAATATTTTGGATCCTGTGCCACAAAAAAAAAGATACAATTACAGGAGAATTTGGCTAGGTACTTTTGATTTTTTGCTTCTCCAGTACTTTATTATTATCCAGAGTATTATTTCATTCCCATTTAAAGATTTTTCTTTGTCAAAATTGTTTTCTTAAATATAAATATTCAAATCAGTTCAAATGGCTACAGTTTGGGAAGCTTATCTTTGTCTATACCTAATATGCACATCAAATAAGTCAATCCATTTTAGTCAAAACAATGTTTGTCTTGAAATTAAAACAACAATTCAGTACCTCAGAAGTAAACTGCATTATGTGGACATAGTGCAGTTCCAGTTTTTACACCATGTATTAGTGAGGTTACAATAAAAGTTAGCCAAAAAAATATATCATAAACTTACGAGATAAACAAAGGCATGTGCACATAATATTTTTGCTCATGTTAAATTCTCTAAAATTTCTATACTACACTATATCATAGAAAATTTGCTATCAAAACATAGAAATATATCGTAAAAACCAACAATTCATGCAAATTAAAAAAAATAGGAAATTTTTAGTTAGATTAGTAAACTATACATAAATATTGTGACATTAATTGAGTGTCCAACTGCATTTCTGTAATTATGGAGTACAAAAGTATCCAAAGAACATTCAATTTGCTTTACTAGAATGATATAGGTAGTGCAGTTTGCCTCTGAGGTACTGAATTTATAAATAGTATAATTTCACTTGGATTACCCATTTTCTATTTTTAAATAAGGAAATAATGAGTGTAAAATGAAACGTTTTTCTTTTGAATGTTTATTTGTTGGGAAAAACCGACTATTGCATAGGATATCCTATTTCTAATCAATGACAATAGTTTTTTTTTTGTTTGGCTCACTGTTGTCACACTAATGCAGCATATTGAAAATAACAGAAATGAGTCAGAAAAATTTGGGAAATTAGAAAAAATCTTGAGTTTGGGTGTTTTTTCCAAGCAACTTTTGATAGCACTTGTTTAAAGCAAGGAAAATATAACTGTTTATTTTTTAGGTGATACCTTATCGCTAATTATAACTATAGATCCATTCAGTTTGGGTAAAATGCCCAACATCATCTTCCTTGGCCCAGAAAGGATGGTAGAATCTTATCGTTCCACCATGAACCAAAATTTAGAGAATTGGGATCCAACCAATGGCATATATATTGAAATACTCAAATTAATAGGTGAGCAAAGTAACTTTATTAACATTAATTTTAAATAATTAAAAATGGAATCATCCTATTTAGGGGGTAAATTATCTTTAATAAGATTAAGTAGTCTTTTATCAATGATAATAATATTCCCAAAATAGTTGAATTCAGTATTATGTGATGGTATTAATCTTTAAATGCCTAAAAGATAAGTATCAAATCTGGTTTGACTTCACACTTCGCAAACTTATAGCAAAAAAAGGCTTTATAAAACTTCCAAAAGAACTCGGTGATTCTGATTATATTTTTTATAACTTCCTCCCAAATCTAATGGTATACAACAACGTTGAACTTACTAATCCTAACGAAATAGTTCATGATTTTGGACTATACTATCGACGCCACAAATTTCATACTTCCCACTCCAGTAACGTTTGCCTAAAGTTTGCCTGATTTTGTTGAGGAAAAGCTGTTTCTGTTCTCCTTAATTTAATATTCCAGAAATCATTTGTTCAGGGAACATTCCCATATATGTGGAAATTTTCCAATATAATTCCAATTCTGAAATCTGGTGATACATTTAATATAAAAATTTTTAGAGGTATAGGGAGTCCCTACTATTTCATAGGGACGCTATTGTTATTTCTTAAATGGAAGCAGATAGAATGTTGGTTAAATTAAAATGGTGCCATAAAATCTTTGATATCTACAGGGAGATTCAAAATATCGGACAAAAAATTAAAAGTGTAATTTCTTTAAATTTAAAAAAAAACAAATTTGAACCTCATTTAAAAGTATTTGACCCCTCCTGCTGTATATAGTATATCGACAATTCCTAAATTATTTGAATCAATTCTTACTGATGAAATAGTTGCTTCCTTTGAATATTTTATTTTTCGCTTTCAGCATGGATTTTATCATGGGTGTTTTACAACTACTAGCCTTTGTTGTTTCCAGGAATATTTGAAGCTAGCCACTAGGTGATGCACTTTACCCCGATCTGTCGAAGACATTTGATAGTGTTTCTCATAAACTGCTTTAAAAAAACCCTTTGAAAGGAGTATTGCTGGTAACTATCTCAATTGGATTTTATCTGACTAATCACTTCCAACAAGTTTCAATCCATAATTTTACATCTCAGGAAGTATCAGTTTCAGACGTCTTACATGGTTCACAACTCGGTCCTGTCCTTTTCTCACTTTTAATTAACAACGTAATTTCCTGCTTTATAAATAGTACCTATCTTCTAAGTATATGCAAATTATTTAAGAGTTTTCAGCACAGTCACAAATAATACTGCCCTTCAAAGTGATCTAAAGAGATTAAGTGAGTGGTGCAAAATTAACAATCTCTTAAATATAAGTAAATGCAAGACCATCCAATTCACTAGAGCTTAAACCCCTTCTCTAAATAGATATAAAATCGATGATATTATGCTGCAAAGTATGACATCAGTGAATTTTCTAGGGGTGATGTTTCATATGGAATTGTTCTAGAATACATGAATTCCATTATTTGTAAAACTTTCCGGATACTATCTCTATTCAACTTAAACGCAAGTAACGCGTCAACACAATAGCCCCTTGACCACAGCATGATACACACAAGCCCGGCTGCTATTGGCCAGCACAGTGATCCTGTTTTGGATGTTTCTCTACCCTCTAGCTCAATGTGCTGTTGTCAAGGAGCCATTATGTTTACGCGTTACTTGCGTTTAAGTTGAATAGAGTATAGGCTGTATTAAAAGAAATACACAACATATATATGATTCTAAAGCAATCTCATCATTATTTAACAGCCTTGTTAGAAGCATTCTTGAATATTGCTTGTCTTATGGCATCCTAATTTGGCTTGTCACATAGAGAGAAAATTCACTAATTATTTGCTGTTTAAACTCCACTTTGCCTAGAAATCAGAAGAAGGCATTTTATGTTGTTTCTTTATAAATTAATTGACGGTAAGATCGACTTTAGCGCCATTTTACAATAAGCTGGCTTATTGAGAAGAATAAACCACTAAAGGTGAAAACGTACCTACCCTTTTAATTTTATAGGACATTTTGTTTTACTCTTCTCTTATTTTTTATCCACAAGCTACTGCATTTATATTTTTGAACGACGAATTAATTTCGAAGTGAATTGATTTCGGTGATGATTTCAATTATGTTTTCGGAAATTTCGAGAAAATTTGTAGTGATTTTGGTGATTTCGAGTAAAAACGTACCAGTATTTCAGGTGTGGTTCACCCATTGAGATAGAATAAAAGGCGAGTTCGGTCAGTCAGGGGCTGGAGCGGGACAAATTTTAGGGTGCTTTTAAATGACATTTAAGCGTGTTAAACTGTCACTAATCGGACTAAACCGAACGCTAAAAGAGTCGTTTGGAGTTAAAAGTGTTAAAGGAGTTAAAGGAATGTGGCAAACCGAACGCAATGATTGGCCGTGTTCATCGTCGTCAAACTGTTTTAAAAGCAAAGAAACATGTTTCATAAGCGGTTGGAATGACGCTGAACAATCATTTTTGTTTACGATTTGTTTTCTCAACCTCAAATCTGTCAAAAATGGAATGACATTTGGTTGGCACAAAGAAGGTTATGTGAATTGTTTACTTTAGTATTTTTTTTAAAAATTTGAGTTTAATTGATTTGTGCAGTGAATTAGAGTTTATATAAGTACCCTTCTGAAAGTGGTTTTGACAATTTTACGGCGAAAAACCTACAACTTGTATTATTTTGGGTTGTAAAGTCATGATGTTTTTATTGCCTCTATGGATCTTGAATTCTACATACTTAGACTAATCAAAGAAATTGTAATAGTCATTTTATTACAGGTAAAATACATTTTTTTGGCACACAAATAAAAACATACTGTAACTAGATCATACTTTGAAGAGCAGAATGAGAATGCTATTTATTGTGTATTGTGTTTAATCAACTGTCTGGTCTGCACCAATAAATTAAAGTAAAGGAACTCATGATACTAATAACATACATCTCAAAAAGTGATCTTTTTACATATACCAAGGATACATAAAAGTGTATAATAATAGAGACATCAAGTATGACTTTCTTATTTTTAGGGAAACAGAGTTCCTTCGAAGTTAGTAATCATTTAAACTGGACTCCAGCCCAGAACTTGAGGCATGTGTCTCAAACCAGTTAAAAACTAACTGAATCGAAAAAGGAGGAAGAGATAAAAATGAAAATGAACCTGAAGTAAACTTTTATTTTTGAGTCATAATACCGAACATCATAAGTCCCGCTTTAGGCAAGACAAACCCACTTTCAAGTTATGTGTACCATTGTCCCCAAAGAACGCAAGAATGTCCTGCTTTAAAAGAAAAGGTGATATGATGCAAAGCATTCTATTAAAAAAGAGTTATCTCTTATAAATATGGGCTAGTGAAAAAACTTACCTAATTTCAGGTATTAGTATTGAAAGCCAAGCATAACATAAACAAGTCACGTCAACAGTTCCACTCCCATTTAAAAACTAAAATATAGAAAATCAGCCCACTTAACAAGTTTTATTTCGCTTTTCTAATTTTTAATAAATTAACATAAAATTATGTTATTTCACTTATTTTTAATAAATTTTTTTATTATATTATTGTTTTACTTTTACTAAAATCTTACTGTTGTTATTCTACATTAAAAATAATGAAAAATTGCTGTTATGCCTTTTAAAATTTACAGGCTTCTTGCTGTGAGGTAAGAAATGATAAAGTTTTATTATAAAAACCGAAAATTGTTAAAATAATCCCTATCTAATGCTTCACTTATTTTTTTACAAAGTATTTTTTATGTAGGTACTTAGGTGTTATACATTTTTGGTCATTGCTAATATTCATTGAGTCTGAATTATTTTTATGTATTAATAAAATTTGTATAGTATTATAGAGTTATACATACCTTGTCGACAAACTACATACAGTAATTGTTTTATAGGAATGATATATTTTGTATTGGAAATTAATAAATATACAAATTTAATGTTGTCATATAGGTAGAGCGACTTATTAGCAAAAATTATTTGAAATGTATACAGTAATGAGGTATTTTTTTATAGGTTCAACAAACCAAGGTGGGCCCTTTTTAATATAATTACTTATACTTAATTTATTTTGTAAATAAAATGTCATACTTTTATTATTATTTATTTTTTAATGCGCTATATACATTAATTACATGCCAACAAAAAACATCGGTGCAGTTTTAATAACAAAACTCGTCTGTTTTGAATAACTCTGTGCTAAAACTACCATGTAGGTATGTTATATTATCCATATTCCTTACTGGTGGAATCCCATTAACGTCCAAATGAAATAATTTAAGCATACGTGTATATATCTACGTCTGGAATTAATTTTATTTTCTTCAAACAGGTACCTCCATAAATACAATATTATATTAAAATACAACTTAACTAATCAACTCTATTAGGGTTTAAAAATATAAATAAACAAACACATAACCTAACAAAATGCCAAAAGACGGATTTGACAGGGGTTCAAGGTCAATTTTATGCTTTTAAAGCAAACAAGCGAGTTTATTTTCGCTTTTATGCTTCTTCAAAAGCGCTGCAGCGGTTGACAGTTCATCGTCACCGCTTACTCAGCGTTACAACATGTTTGACGACGATGAACACGGCCAATGATACTAAAACTTTTGCACTTCACTTTTACGTCAAATGTCTAACTCGAGCTAGTCAGTTTTGGTGAGAATAAATGACATTTTTTTAAATAGGGTGATTTAAATGATATAAAAACATTTTCATTCCGTCAATATTCAAATATAAAATTATTGACTACAAATTAATCAAAATACGACTCTTAAGTCGCCATTCTAGGGGACATGTTCTTCCGGGTTGTTCACTAAAGTCATTGTCTTACATAAGAGGGATAAGACATATCTGCAAAGTTGATGCTGATGTCTCTTGTAAGTCATTATTTATTAGGCACAGGATACTAACACTCACTTGTCTGTTTATTTCAGAAACGGTACTTTTAGTTTTAAAAAATATAAATGTAATATTATTACCTCCAGCAATACTCTAAGAATTTTTAAGCTTCCCTTGCCTATACCCTCTTCCGGTTTGGTACATGTCTCTATTGAGTATAGCGGGAAGATGTTTAACCACCTGCCAATTAATATAAGAAATAAGAAACTCTTGCTCGAAAAGGCCTACTACAAATTGGATCGGTTGAATTAAGTAGTTCATTTTAATTTATGTGTATATTATACATATTTCTCGATTGTCATATTTGTACTTGGTGTTGTGCATTTACATTTTTGTTCTTTATATTATATTTTGTCTTGACATTAGAATTTAAAATTTTTTTAAAACCAGCAAAAATTTCATTATTGAATACTTTGTTTCTTTTTCTTTGAATTTTTGACTTTTGTTTTTAACTTTCTTATTATTGTGTTATCTATATTTGTTAATAAAAATGTAATTAATTCTTCAACAATAAATAAGTTTTTACCTGACTTGACCCGAGTCGGTTGCTTTTAGGTCTGTTCCAACAACGATCAGAAACCATTCACAGACACCAGGATTCTACGCAGTTGACTATTTCGACCGCCAAATTATATACTGTGCAGAATTCTGGTGTCAGTGACTGGTTTCTCATCGTTGTTGGAACAGACCTTTTAGATATATTATGTATATTTCAATATTTTAATGTGTGCCATTATAATAACAATTCTGTAGGGTACCTGTTTGAATAACTAAAATTCAATATCATAATGACGTTTCATCGGTATAGTCTATGTTATAGGGCTTAGAAATTGAGTACCTTGTATATCATTTTTTAGTTACTATTTGAACGTATTTTTAACAGACTTCAAAAAAATGAGAATGTCCTCAATTCGTCAGAATATCTTTTTTATTTATTTCAGTTGTTGTAATAAAGGGCGTTTAGTCGTCAAAGTGAATTAATTCATACTTCAATTATTATCAGCAGTAGTCGGCGGCAAGAATTCTATTGGTGCTGCTAAATTGAAATGTATTGGGTATGCCAGAAATTAAATGAACATTGAAAATACAAAACCTAAAAAACATTTGTTTTATAATTTTTTGAATTTACTAAATGTAAATAATGGTTATGTAATTCTATATAGTAAACATTTTATTTTATTAAAAAAGTTAAGTAAATATTTAAAAATTGACTGAAAATAAACTGTTTCATAAGTATTCCATGTCCTAACTATATTCTACATTCTCCTCTGTAACTCCTATTTCTTCTTCAGACTCATTAGGCCCTTTTCATGACGACAGTAATTGGCACAGTACCACAGTGCACTTCAATAATTTTGACAATTAAAACGTATTATTAAATAACAACGTGCCTTTTTTAGGGACTTTTTTCTTTTACTAAAACTAGAATTAGTATTAATTTCCATGATTATTAAAAATATACAATAATATACATTCTTAAATGTTTTAATTTATTTTTTTTAGGTCTGGATACATTCCCTAAAAAATCCGACGACGCCGAAGGCAAGAATGATGACCTTTTGCTTGAAGCAGGAGATTGTAGCATTTGTTTTTTACTTAAGTTGAACGACAAATTGCCGGAGATCGTCTGCAGGAATAAATTTTGTGATAATTGTTATCATACAGAATGTTTATATGAGGTAATTAGACATTTATGTTTTGGTATTACAAAGCAAAACACTTTTACCGTGGATTTAAACATTTTAATACTTTTAATTTATTGTTTTTACAGCAAATGTGAACAAAATGTATTTTTAATCAAATAATAATTCTGGTGAACATAAAATGTTGAAGGATGTTTGTTAAATTTATTGATGAATTATACTTATTTGTCAATTAAGTCATAGTCCATCAATGTTGTCTCATCCTGGTCTTTTAAATACCTACTTATAGTATCGATTGTTTATTTTTTTGTCATAACTTTTTCTTACGATACGTAAATGTGACTGATTGTGTTTGATGTTTTTTTTTCTTTAAAGGCTGTTATAAAATTAGCACAATAATCAAGTTTGCTTTCACTTTTCCAGCTGCAATCAACTAACTAGCCAGTTTATACAATTGCTGCTTGGAAAGTGTAAGATCCTCAAATACAGTAAATAATTTAGCTTTAAAATGTTAAATACCTGAAATTATACTACCAAGTGTCGTCACTTTCTGGAAAATCATGGAAATATCAGGAAAATAACCCTGTGCTATTTTCTTTAAGAAATTAACAATAAAAAAAAACAAAACAAATATTTACTGTTTTTCACTTTTTTTGAAGTTGTAAGCAGTTTGATTAATGCATCATTATGACGAACAACACACGCTTAAGCACTGGTAGGCAGTAATAATAATATCTTTACTAGCTAAAATTTTGATTTTACAAAAATAGTTTACATATATAAAATATATTAAAATTAAAATCTATTTTAAAATTAAGTACAGTCTAGTGAAGACGGTTACAATTACACTTTCACAACTGCATATATCTCATAGAGATACCATAAAAAAAATATTGAAAATAATATAATAATATTAATGTCAGAGTTGATTGCGAAACTCAGTCAAGTTGTAGAAACAGTTATCTGCTAGATATTTTTTTAACTCATGTTTAAACTTTTTATTTGTTTTTATAGTTTTAAATTCTGTAGGCCACGGCCACAGTTTATATAGCGAGCATTCTGCATGCTCTGGGGATTTTTTATAAAATGTTTGACCCTTTTTAGTTAAAAATGTTGTTTGTTTCTTGTGTCATAGGTGTGTACATAAGTAGTTTTAAAAGATATATGGAAGTTACGGTTAGTATAGACTTTTCTTTAAATGTGCTACGGCAAGTTTCTCTCCATTTAGATTTTACTATATTATTCTTAAGGCGTTTTTGCAATATAAATACCGCCTGTCCCCAAATTATTATATTGTATGAGATGGCTGAATATGCCTTTGAATAATAAACAGTGAGTATACTTTATCAGGTTCTAGGCTACTTTTTATTGTCTTGAGTGCAAATAATGTTTGGCATAATTTTTTACAGATGTAATCAATATGTGAGGAGAAATTTAGGTTGCTGTCTATATTGACTCCTAAGAATTTTGGAATGTTAGCTGGGCTTATGGTACTATTGTTTATTTCAAAAGTGAAAATAGATTCTGATTTATATAGAGTATGAGATTCGATATATATGGTTTTATCATAATTTAGTATTAAATTGTTTTTATGACACCAATCAAAGTATTTTTTACGTAGACAAGATACATTTCCAAATACTTCTTTTATAGAGTTTTTTCCAAAAACAGTTATGCTGTTGTCATCTGCGGACATGATCAGTTTTCCTTCTGTTATAAACTCTTTCATCGTTGTTCGAAATAATTAATAGTTTTTTTAAAAAATTCAGTTTCATAGCATCATTTAAAAGAATCAAAGAAATTCGTGGAAAAGTCATTAATGCTATTTGTGTTAGAGGGGATATCCAAATCGTTAACTGCGTTAGAGTTATTGTTATATGTTTTTAAAAATCTATATTTGGAATTGTGACAATGGATGTTGTAAATTCTAATAATTGGGTATGATGGTCTGATATGCCAGGATCATAATTTACACAACTAGTATAACTATCAAAGTTTGTTAATAAGTAGTCTACACTTGACTGAGTTACACGATCCCCCAGTCTACAAATTCTAGCGGGCGAGTTTACAAGAGAAAATAGTGAAAAGGACTTGAGTATATCACAAAATTCTATAATTTCTAGATTCGGTTTTGTCTGTGTTAAATCTTCACAATTAAATTTATTTGTTGCTTTATTTAAAGATTCCCAAAGTAGATCATAGAAAATATTAAGTAACCTATTTGGTCCCTGTAAATTGATAGTAAACAGATTATTATTATTATTATTAAATGACATTGCTGAGCATTCAAAATGTGATTATTGATACATATTGTTAATGCTTTCTATTGGTTTGCAGAAGTTGGCCATATCTTCTGCTACTAGTATTGCTGAACCTCCATGTTCGTGTGCCACTATAATAAAGTCTGTTATTCTTATATAACCATCTATTTTAATAAATTCTGCGTTACTTGTGGACATCCAATGTTCTGTAACACACACAAAGGTCGACTGAGTTTGCTGCAATAACTGGCTAAATATAGTTGTTTAACTGCATAAACTTTGCAGATTTAAGTAAAGTGATTGTACTGTATTGTTATTATTACGAGACATTGAGATGTAAGATTCTTACTTTCTTGTTTTATTTTTTTAGTTACACTGTCTTTGTTGTTTTGTTTATGTTTCCTTTCGAATTTGAGGAATATTGTGAAAATTTACATTATGCTGATTTGAATTATTATCCATTTTTTTTGTCGTCTTTTTTAAAATCATATCGGCTTTCGGCTTAGAACACCTCTAGTACTAGACCATAGATTAGGGTAATGTTTTGAGGAGGCATGACATAAAAGTGGGAATAGTTGCAGATTTGCCAAACCTATAAATTAATATAATTCATGTGTCCCTGAATCTTTTATTTAATATTATATATTCAAGGGGGTGATTTAATTTTTATATCCTAGTGCGGCAGTAACGTGTTAAGAACAGCACAAGTTCTATCTAATTAGGCACTCCAACGTCCTGTCCAAATGGTTGCCTGATGAAATTTTTACTTTTGACACAAAAGTTTGTTTTCTAATCTGTTAAGAGCAAACATGACGGGCGCTTCTCCGCCAAAAATCAATTTTACATTAGAGGCAGTTAAAAAAAATTGTAAAAAAAATGGTTCAGGCCAATCGTTCTAAAAATGAACCAAGAATGACGCTAAATCACTCTTTAGCGTCATTCTATAACAAATATCTTAACTATTTTCTAAATAACTTTTTTTTAAAAAGATTGCCAATTTTAAACAGGACCGAAGATTAACATATTTTTCATTCCGATACTAATTCTATTAAAACAATGATACCAGTGAATATGGCAACGCTGCTAGTCTATGAAGCCCGTGGTTAAAAGGGTAGCTGCTGTTTAGTTAAATTTGTTAATTCCTGTGTCGAAAAATAGGTAGTTGTTTTTGAAGAGGTGCGAAATTATTGTGATCGTCTTAGTTTCTTGTTGAGGCGTTGTTAGGTTTTTGTTTAATTTAGTTTTTAGTTAAATTATGAAATGTAAAATTCTGGGGGGCAAAAATGCTACCACAGCTGACAAATTTCTATTTTAATTGTTTGCTGCCAGAGTTAATAAATCCTAGAGAAATACGACATGTGCCAATTAGGGAAAAGAGATTGTCAAGAATTTTGCCCGCTTAAAAAATGTGTAATATACAGGGTGTTTCTAAATACATGCGACAAAATTCAGGAGCTGATTGCTCGTATGAAATTAAGATGGGTCTTTCCTATAACAAAATTTCCTCAGCCCACCCCTTTTCGAGATATCACCCTTAAAAGGTGGTGACTAAAATTGAGTTTTTATTTTTTTTTTTCTAAAATTTCAGTAAAGCTAGAAACTTGAAATTCTGTAATCGCAAAGGACTAACCACGGGAATTTTTTCAATATTTCTGTTACATTATAGGGGGGTGAAATTATCAACACTTATTTTATTTCATATCAAAACTTTTTTTCGAGATGAACTTTTATGAAATAAAAGTATGTCTTGAAATCCTTGTTTTATTTAATTTTTTTTTATTCTTGAATTTTTTTCCCAAAATCCATAGCTTCAGAGAAAAAAAATTAACACCCTAATTTATCATTTTTTTGTTAATAAATTGAGTGGCCAATAGCTTCTATGAAGCTATTGGTCGTGGGAAAAAAATTTAAAAATAATTTTTTTTTTTAAATAAAACAAGGATTTCAAGTTACAAAATTATTTCAAAAAAGTTTTGATATGAAATAAAGTAAGGGTTGCTAATTTCACTCCCCTATAATGTAACAGGAATATTGAAAAAATAACCGTGGTTAATCATTTGCGAGTGCACGAAAATTACAGAATTTCAAGTTTCTAGCTTTACCGAAATTTTAGAAAGGGGTGGGCTGAGGAAATTTTGTTATAGGAAAGACCCATCTTAATTTCATAGGAGCAATCACCTCCTGAAATTTGTCGCATGAATTTTTAAACACCCTGTATATTGCAGCAGCCTTTATAATTTTCGGACAAGGATATTTCAAAAAGGAATTTTGTTAAAAAATTAAAATTTTGGCAAAATAAATTAGGTAATATTAACTAGATATGCCTATATTTTTAAAGTTTTAATTCCTTTCAGTTTCCGAGAAAAAAAATCAAATATGATAATGAAAATAAATGCATTCCTCAACAGCACTATTCTTAATATAATCCCGAAATTTAAACTCTTAATGTCTTCCCAGACAATACACCAAATCCCAGAGATATCCACAGAATATCTTTTGTGGATATCCAATATATCCACAGGATATCAGAAATATTCCGTGGATCTAATATGGATATCCAAATGTCCGTCTATATCCAGAATATAGAAGATATCCTATGGATATTCAGCAAAATATCTAATTAGTATCTCCAGACAATACAAGAAATCCCAGACATATCCACAGAATATATTTTGTGGATATTCAATATGGATATCCAACCAAATGTCCATCTATATCCCAGGATATAGAATTCAGATATTCAGCAAAATATTTTATAGGTATTTTTAGTAGAGGTTCATAAGTAACCAATGATTATTGAATAACGTCGAAAGAAAATAGAGATAGAAAATATTTCCAACAATTTGCCTTTGATTTTGCCCACTAAGGGCACTAAGGAGAAAGTCATCCTTATTAGGACTCTTCAGCAATAAATGGAAATTCTCGACTCCAGTCTCTAATGAAGTCTGATTGTGAAAAAAATGTCGATCGAACTCAATTACGGCGGGTTAAGCATGAGTAGATACGAAAGTGGTATCGCCATCTATACTTAGGAAGCAAAATCAAAAATTACATCTAGTGGATATCCACGATGGTTTGCGTCCGCGCTTAGACTTTGATATATTTAGTGGATGTCCATGGGATATTGAATACACCTTAAACAAATTAATTTTAAATATCTGAACGGTACTATTAGCCACAATGGCGTAATTTTTTAATAATTTGCTATATAATTACTATTATTTATGGACATTTGCATGTCTATAAATTACATTTCATGGATATAAAATAGATATCCACCATGGACTGGACATTCAGTGGATATTGGGATGTTCAGTAGATATCCAAAGGATTTGGTGTGCTGTCTGGGTTGGTAATGATTTTTTTAAATTCGCCAAAATTAGTGGCTAAAACGCCTCGTTAAGTGCTGCCTTCTGGTGTAACGCGCTTGTAACTATCGTATCGTACACTCTGTCATTATTCGTTTCTTGCAACAATTTACACCAGAAGAACGATATTTTCAGAAGTGTCGTAGCTCAGTGCTACACTTTCGATGCAAAGGAAAATACCTATTTTTACATTGTATGTCAATTTGTTATTTATTAGCTTTTTTAAGCTATTGCATAGCTTTTATCGCGGGCTTTGAGCATGGCAACCTAACACCCCCCACTCCGACCGGCACAGCGGTGCGGCGTTTTGAAAGCCGTGGAATGTTTTATCCGACCCTATTCGTATTAGTATGAAGCTGAGTTAAATATACGTCTGCGGACTGGAACGTTTATGCAATACAAGAACTAGAAGAGTTTTCTCTGGCTTCTAATAAATTTGTATCACAAATGTTCCCTCCCGGCTGGCGTAAATATTAAATATGAATTTTTTTTGCAAGATTTATAATAGTATATTATGCAACGATCATGTAATAACCATTACATGAGAGTTGCATACGCTATTTTTTCTACATCCGATAAATAATCAAGACCTATAAATATTATATTTATATTGGTATTGAACACAATAACAGTAATTACTCTTATTTCTATAAAAAATTCTACAAAATTGTAATTAATGGTATTACTTCGGGTATTGGTATTTCCCTAGGTTTTTGCGGAAAAATATTTTGTACTGTATTTTCGGCTTTCTCCGATATGTGTGGAGGAGTCTTCTATATCGCTGATATCAGACATTTAGCTATCTACGAAAATTTAATACGTTTTGACAACTAAAACAATTACATAGGAACCTAGGACAAACGTCAAACAGCATGCTTGATTGAAAAATTGTAGGTTTCTATTGATTAAAAATCTGTATCGTAATGAACAATCTGTATCATAATGGGTATCATTATGAAACGGATTATGGACATATAAGTGCATTATTATAATACGGGCGTAGAAAAAATATTAATTTTTATTTTATCAGTGTTAACTATTTCATTATTAAGCTATTGCACAGATTTTATCGCGGGCTTTGAGCGCGGTGACCGAATCAAGAAATTCCGTAACGAAAATAAACCTAACCCCTCGAAAAATCGAAAAATAAATTCCATAACGAAAATAAACCTAACACCCCCCACTCCGACTGGCACAGCGGTGCGGCGTTGGAAGAAGTAGAAATATAAGAGTATACGGTGTTACAGAATCTAAGAAAATGAAAATGTCAGAAAAATTATCGCAGATATTTTTACTAAACAAATGAAACTTAAGCTGAAGGATGACAGTATGAAGTTCTGCTACCGACTAGGCAAAAAGGAAACAAATAAAAATAGACCAATGATGGTTAGATTCTCTACGAATTATTACAAAAATTTAGTATATAATAACAAGAAATTTCCAAAATCCACCAAGGTTGTAATAAGAGAAGACCTGACCAAGGACCAATTAAATATGGTACATGAGGCTGCAAAAAAAGTTAGAGACAAGGGGAAAGTATGGACGATCTCCGGGAAGATTTTTCTTAAGTTAGATAATCAGGAACGAGTTATTAGAATTGAAAATCAAGATGATATTAACAAACTTTCGGTTTAAATTACAGGATACTATGCGCTATGTACATTAATAAAATATCTATTTTCTTATATTTCATGTTACGTTTTGTTATTTTATAGGATTAAATATGTAGCATTGCGACCAGTTCGGCTATTCCAGTTAGTCGAGTCGAGTTCTTATCTGTAGTTGAATTTTTGTTGTAAAAACGGCTGGCTTTGTAGAATATTTATTTTATTTTCGATATATATTATTTTATTTTTGAAGTTTTAACTCGGGTGGATTATCTGTTAAAAAATGCACTTCCTAAATATTGGTTTCATTAACGCAAGATCATTGTTGCCTTCTTTATACAATATTAAACAATTGGTTTTAGACAATTCGTTAGACATATTGTTGGTGTGTGAAACATGGTTGAATCATAATATAAAGCCATGGCGAAATTTAAAAAATCAAAAAGTCAGCGACACCTGGATTTTTACAGGCAAATGCGTAATGTAACCAATCAAGCAATTAAAAGGGAGAAAAAAAGCTTACTTTACTTACCAACTTAATAATAGCTCAACAAAAGAAATTTGGAAAACACTTAAATCAAACAAATTAATTCCTGAAAAAAGTAATAAATATACCACAAAATCTAAAAAATCCTCAGCAACTAAATAACTTTTTCGTAGAATCTATTCCAGATAGTCGGCCATCAGGCAATATATTAAATTTTTATAAGAATAATAAGCGACTAAATGCAGATTTCGTATTTAACAAAATTAATGATCTTTTTACTTTTAAAACCATTTGCGATATAAAAACGAATGCTAAAGGTTGTGATGGAATAGGTATTAAACTTATTAAGCTTTGCTGTCCCTACATAGTGCCATACATTACTCATATAGTCAATTTTTGTATCACTGAGAATGTATTTCCCATTGTGTGGAGGAGTGCAGTTGTAAATGTTTTGATCAAAAAACAAAACCCTTCGAAAATGAAAGACTTAAGAGGAATAAGCATTTTGCCTTCGTTATCGAAGATCCTAGAGCGGGCAATGTATATTCAAATTAGAGACTATCTTTCAACTCATGATTTACTACCTACTATCCAATCTGGATTTAGAAAGGGACATAGTTGTACAACTGCTCTTCTCCACATTGTCGATGATGTTATAAAGGCTACTGATGATAATCAGTGTACTCTCTTGGTGTTGTTAGATTTTAGTCGTGCGTTTGATACTTTAAATCATGATTTAAAGTTTTACAGTACATAGGCTTCTCTTCTAATGCTCTTTTACTAGTTAACTTCCATTTTCTATTCCTTATGTCATTTTACAATAATTATTATACTTCACTAAAATTAAACCTTTTATAGACTCGATTGAGAACCTACTAATTTTCTTCGTCTACTGAACAGCTATGAGAGAGAAAAATTATTTCAGCTGCAGCCATCCGCAGCGTTATTTTAGAAGTTCAATTTGTTTCAGTCTCTTTCAGTTTAATGAAAATAAATAAAACTGTTCATTATTTTGACCGCTAATGAAAAATAGTTTCACTATTAAAATTTCATCAATTAATTTGCTGTCATCTATTTAAATGTCTCTCTGCAATAAGAATTCTATTGACTTAAAATATTGTCAAATTTCATTTCTGAATTGCTCAACAGCATCCTTTGAAAACATTTAAACTCTTTCTCTATTTCTCCAAATGTTCTCTACATTTGCAGTAAAATAATAATTCGTTTATCTCTTTTTCATATCCTTCCTACAAGCGGCGTGCTTTGTCAACTGGTTGTGATTGAAGAAATAAATTTTGATTATGTATACATTGCGCACTTAAATTTTGAGTAGCAGATTTTTGAGTGCATATGCTGGAAAGGAAAACCGTCTAGACATTTTAATTTGGTCAAAGGTCGGACTTTTTTGTTTATTTTTATCACATTGTTAAACTGTATCTTGAAGCATTGATTAATCAATGTTGGATACTAGGAATTTTTCTATTTCGGAACCGGGAAACCGAAAATTCGAAATTAAGTTAGATTATTTTATCGGTAATGAGTATTAACATTTTTGTTTTCTTTTTGTTTCAGTGGTTAATATCTGTCAATTCAAGAAGATTTTTTACAGAAGTTGTTGGCGCGTGTCCGAATTGCGAGAAGAATATCTCCTGTCCTATTCCTAATTAGGATCCATTTCTTTTTAGTTTTTGATACTGTTTTATATTTTTTTTATATAAAAAAGAAAGTTTTGTTCTACAGAGATTGTTGAAGCGTGTCCGAATTGTGAGAAGAATTCCTGTCTTATCTATTTTTTTTTTAAGTTTTTGATATTGTTTTATATTTTTTTTATAATATAAGAATGTTTTGTTCTACAGAAGTTGTTGACGTGTATCCTAATCTAATTGCGAGAATAATATATCTGATACTCTTCTTAATTAGGATTAACGTCTTTTTAGTTGATACTGTTTTCTATTTTTTATAAAATAAAATATTTTGTTGCTTTAAATTGTGTTATTTTTTCCTAGCATAAATTAATGATATATATAATATGAATATGAAAAGTGTATTGTCCTTAGGTAGGTAATTTATATATATATTTGTTTTATTGTGGAAATTTTAAATAAAAACAATAAAATGTCCAAAATACTTGGAATGTCCTGGTCATTGCTTGATAAGCCAAATTTTTCTTATTTACAAATTGGAATTTAAAACAAAATTTTAAGTGCTTTTGCTAAAAAGATATTATAATTAATATAAATAATTCTTCTTCTGTGTTATGCAGGGTGATTCTAAGCTACACTGCCAAAATAATACTCTTAATATATTTAAAAATAAAAATACCCATATTTTTTATTTTGAATGGCTCAAATGGAGTTTTAAGGGAGACATTAAAAAAAACTCATTTTTATTTCTCGAAAACTACTGAATCAATTGATGTTAAATTATATGTGCGTCATCGGAAGTAGGTCTTAATTGCAATTTTTTAAATATGAAAATGAATAATCCCCAATTCTCCATACGTAATTATAAAAAATACACCTCCATATCCCCAAAGTAAAAACAAACTAAACAAACATTGAGAAAGCTAAGAATTAAAGAAAGAAAAAAAACTGAATGCGTCGACCAGGGATCAGATTCCAACTCTCGTCGGCGCAAACACAAATGCTAATCTCATCTCAGCTTTCTCAATTCTTTTAAAGTCGTTACCTTTGTGACATCATGTAGAAAGGACGACAATCTAATAATTGTATCAGACCAAATTTCTGAGATCCATCATTCGTTCACCAGTGTTAAGTTTCGAGTACAGGCCGCGGTAAACGTGAAAACAAGTGAAGTAAGAAAAAAAATGAGAGAGATGAGATCAGAATGTGTTTGCGCCGACAAGAATCTGAATCTGGTTGACTTCAAATCTACAAGTTTGGATGTTGAAAGCCATGTGCGTCGGTAGCTTAATTATTAAGAACATGGCCGGCCACAGCCCGAAGATTTTTCTTTCTCAGCTTTTTCTTTAGTTTGTTTTCACGTTGGGTATATATCATATTTCCATTGTGAGAATTGGGGATTATTTATTCATTTTTGTATATCGATGGCTGATGGCTTAGCGCACACAGGTGTGCAATTTGGAACAAATTGTGTTAAATGCATGTACCTATTTATATGATTGTGTACAAATAATTTATCTTTATTTTGCTTTATTATGTAATCAGAAACAACGAATACATTTCATGTGAAATAACAGAGCTTCAAATATTTAAACTTAAATTGTGAAATATAAGCAAAATGTTAAACACGTGTGTACTAAACCATCGATATCCAAAATTGCATTTCAGTTTTTCGTATCTCAACATTCTCAACCGATTTTGCTCACTTCACTTTCTTTCATTTTATGTTGAAACAATTGTTTCAACATCTTCAGTTTTTGATAGAAGGCGTCACGCGTCACATATATACAATGCTTATTATTTTGTATTAGGATAGCCGTACTTTATTCCAGTGTAAGACCATTGTACTTGTTCAATATTCTTAGTTACAATAATTTATTTCCTAGCAAAACGGTGTAATTCTTTCCTTTTTTTTTTCACCAGATGGCACCATTATTGAGAAAAAAAAATAGATCAAACATATTTTGCTTTGTATGTCCTATTTTAAAGGTTTATTAAAATCAGTGGCGAGTGGCGGCTGGTGCAAAAGTGCTGTAGAGCTGCAGAACTGCCAAAAAATGCAAGTATCTCATCTACATTTTACAGAAATTATTTTAGACATTCTAAAATATACGTAAAACACATTTTATGGATAATCGGTTTAATTTGTTTATTAAATAGTATCCATAGCGCTCGAACGTACCCTACTGTCAGTTCATAGCTGAGAATAAGTCCAGAGCGGACCAGTGGAAGACTTAACAAAAGGTCGCCAGGTCATAATAATCTATTAGCTGGGTCGCTTCGGGAGGGTCTGATCGCACCTAGTGGTCTGTATCGTCGTCACCTCAAGTAATCAACTAGTCGGCAATCAGTGTTTTTTATTTCGTTCGACAAAAATGACTACTAGTGAACTTGTGATTGCAGCACAGTTGCTTATAGAAGAAGCAGAAGACGATGACATTTTGCTATTATCATTAATGCAAAAAAAGCATAAAAAGGTTCATAAAATGTTTGTTCGAAGAAGAAAGGAAGGGTGCTTTAGTACGTTAATAATGAGACATTTAATTGATGACGAAACTAAATTCAAAGAATACTTTAGGCTTACCAAAAGTCAATTTAATGAATTGGTTAATATTGTATCCATTGATATAAAAAACTTTTTTTTGGTGCTCATTTTGCATCAATAGCAGACGACTAAATAAACGTGCGCGTTTAAATTGCCTGACGACCAATTTTGCCGTAAAACGCGTCGTCTTGTGGCGATTTGTATCGACTTGTCGCTTAAATCAGACCATCATTATGATATCACTATTTAACCTATCGGCACGATTAAACGCCGCGTCTAAACGTCTCGACTACTCGCCCAAAAGAGACCTTACCAAGGCTAAAATATTGATCCACCAAAAATATTTCTAAAGTAGGCCATGACGGACAAAGTCATAAGTGATTTCTCCAAGGCGCCTGCTTTAAAAACAGTTTTTGTGGATCACTCATTATAGGACCGTTAATAAAACTATTCCCAAAAAAGAATACAAAGTGTTTTAATAAACATGTGCCAAAAATAAGACAAACCGTTCCTATCAACATTGGTCCCAGATGCTTTGTTTCAAAGATACAAAGATTTTATAATATGTAACAAAATTCAGAAGAAAATTTGGAAAAAAATCAACTGTATCTAAAATTATAACAAGTCAATGAAGATGACAGGTTTATTTTAAGCTTGATACTTAACAGTTTGTTCAAATTGCATCTCCTAATACGAAACAGAATTCCAAAAAAGATTAATCGGTCATTTAAATATCTAACTAAGGGCCGATCTTTTCACCTCTGAGTAAAATTACAAGTAGGTTTATTTAACAGATTAACAAACAATAGCCATGTAGTTTAATCAGCAAGTAGTTACTTTCAACTTTAGTCAGGGGTGAAAAGACTGGCCCTAAGTGTGAAAAAGTCAGAAGTGTACATATTTTTTGTAAAAAAAAAAATAATAAAGCGCTCGTTCGCACGAGCGCCCATGATAATCTGTTTACTTCTTTTTATTGCTAAAATAGGTTTATTAGATTCATTGTACAACCAAAATTTCTTTGAAATCGTTAAAGTAGTTTCGGAAATATTTATAGCATCTTATATTTTTAAAACAAAGCATCTACGGACCCATGTTGATAGGATCTTATTTTTGGATACATATTTTTTGAAATACCTTGTGTGCTTAAATATTAACGACATAATAATAAGATAGTTATCCAAGTACATTCACCTTACAATAACGTGAATGTTATAGGACAATCAAAAAAAAAATATTTTGGAAAGAAACAGTCCTTTGTTAAAATTATAAATAAGAAAATATATGGTAATTTAATTTAAAGTACACGTTCAAATTATTGTGATAACATCTATCAAATGGCCTCTAAACAATGTAGATCGATCAAAATGTTTTTCCTCAGAATGTCGTTAAACAGAGAACACTATTTTGGTAGGTTACCAATAATCTCTAGGAGTAATGCGAAATGGTCGAATTACAGGAAGGTTTTCAAAAATTAAGGTGACAAAAATCGTTGGTTGAACTGTTGTCAGCTGGTAGGACCCTTGTGCGCGTTTGGCAGGATGCTTCTATTTTGACGCAATTAATGTCAAATGAACGCTGACAGTTTGAAATTACTTCTAAAATGTAGCACCGGCAAACCAAAGTTGGGCCAGTGTTAGGCAATATAATTTTTTAAGTTCAGCCTTAATCCGTACCTTCGATTTTTGTGGCAGACCTTCAATATTATCAACATATTACAGCATAATTTAAAAAAAAATACAGGTCATTTTAGGGTCTGGGTAATTTTGGTATATCTCTTACCATTTAGTCACCAATAAATGAAACACCTTTATTCAATAAAATTCCTATATTATCATATAATATTACGCAACTCAGCAATACATTTCATTTTTCAAGTCATCGCCAGTCAAAAATCCATTGATACTCATGTATTACTACAGCCTAAAATAAAGTTATTCTGGATAAAAAAATTAGTTGTTCATGTCAGCTTTTATAAAAGCCTAGAAAGACATTCATTTGAGATGTCGTTTAAAAAAAAATACGTTACAAATAACTTAACCTAAAACATAACAATCACTCCATTAAAATTTCCTCGATAGTTTTATCGTCTCTCAAAGGGCTCTGCACCAAAGTAGGATCGCTTTCCAAATACTGCCTCAGTTCAGACTCTAGGTCAATGTTCACCACTTCGCTCGTAGTTGATTGAACGTCTGTTATAGGCACTCCGATAGCCTTCCTTATAGCCGGCACAGGAGCCACTTCAGCTGGAGTTACCCTCTTGACTATATTGGACAGATTCTCGGTGATGGTTTCGGCTATTTGGTTCTCTTCTTCGGTAGCGGGCAGGCAATTGTTGAGGTTAGCCGGTGGTACAGCAGACAGTCGTTGGTATTGACTGTTTTGGAGCTTCTCCAGCAGTTCGCACATTGTGTCGAGGCGTTGTTGGAGATCATGGCGTTCTTCCGCTACCCGGATTTCGTCGTCCATGTTTTCTAGGAAGGCAACATCGATGCCTACATCTAAAAAAACACACACATTGTTATACCTGTGTACTAATAAATTTATTGTTAACACGTTGTCTGCCACGGTAATTTTCAGGAATTCAGCCTAAAAAGCAATTTAATTTAAAAAACCTATTACATTATTAAAAACTCTATAGTACATAGTAATCTTCATTAGCATGAAGAATGTGTTTTTTTTAGGATCTTACGAATTATCTCGTAGTTGGTTTATGTCACAGAAAGTTCTTTTCAGAAGCAAAACGAGTTAATTTTTACACAGTTACGTTTTGACCTGATGTTTAACTGTGTTAACATTTTTAGTATGACATTTTGTACAATGTAAAATGAGAAAGAATATATTTAGAATAAATTACTAATAAATCATTATATTTTGGGGAAGGGGAGGGCAGTGTTGGAACGCCTTAAATCTCCCTTGAGTGCGCCACTGCTTTGCTATATCTGAGTTAGAGAACGTCTAAATTCGTTAGTCTAAATCAAAAACAAAAATAATCTTTTGATTTTAAATATAATTATATTATATTTTCTGTTCATTTATTAATAGATTTTCTGTTACCGTCAGCCAGCTGATTTTTTGTTCTCTTCTCAGTAGCTATATTATGCCTATTTACACTGATACACTAGTAATTTAATCGCAGCTGCACGAATATGTCAAGTAAAAAACTACGAGATGTCATAGTCAGCGTCCTAGCTAAGAACGCAAACTTACGAGTTAACTCGTAGTTAGCAGTCAACGTGTTAATAATAATCTTAATAATAATATACAATCTTATTTTAAAGCCATATTGTATATTAAAATAGTTTTACATATTACTATTTTCATTTAATGTTATTCCTTTTAAGAAAAATCCCACAGCCCAAACTGCCAGAACAAGAAATGTGAAATTTGGAACGTTTTAATAACACATCCAAACCAAGCCAAACCTAACCAAACCTAACCAAACCTAACCAAACCTAACTTAACCTAACCAAACAATAAGGAAGGATTTATACAGTGAGCATCATAAGTCTTACCCCCCCTAACTAACATGGTTGAATAGAGAATAAAACCCTCTTTCAAATGAGCTATCACTCACCACCCCATGCCATTTAAATTTTTCGAAAGGGTTGCTCCCCTCCAGTAAGGGATGAAAATTAAGGGTAAACTATTCATACAAAAATGTACACTGTAGAAAACAAAAATAGACCTGTCTCGGCGATTTTCCTAACAAGACTCCAGTAACGAGTTAGATAGGGGGGTAAGACTTATGGTGCTCACGGTATATTCAAAAGCATACGGGAAATCGCCATTGCAATAAAATACAAAAATCATTTAAAAGATAATACATAAATATGCAACTTTCATTTCAAAAACAAATCAAATTGCTAGTGTTAAGTAATAATTTAATTTTTTTAATATACGAGGTTTGATCATACAGTAAAGGAATTTTTTTAGCAACAACTGCTGATGCAGAAACCATTTGATGTGATTTGTCCGATAGCCTGATCCATTGAGACATGTAGCGTTAAGTTGGAACACGTTCCGACTTGTTAGTCAGCGTCTGGAGCCGCTAGAGGGATATTTTGTTTACATGTCTATTACGTATGATGGAAATCAAAGAAACTCATGAAATGTTGATAACGTTCCAATCATACTTATTATATTCTCATTTAAAATATAATTGCCAGGTATAAATATTTTTTTTTTAATTCCAACTTATGTCAGTCTAAATAATTGGAAAATAAAACTAGAAATTTCGGGGAAATAGTTATTCAACACTTCAAGAGTCAAGTCTAGTTACCCAACATAGGCAATGCACATGCGCAGGACTAGATAGAAGCAGAAATAGTAGTCTGTTGTGTTCATTATTACATTTTTATGTTGCAATCTAGTTCAGTTTTAGCTCGCTCTCATAACAACGTTGCAGCCACCCTAGATTTAAAATGAAACTGAACAGCAATAAGTATAAATTATTATTATTATTATTATTTTTTCAATTTCATATTTTTTTATTACTGGTCTGGTTTAGTTAAAATGATAAAATCTTTATTGATGTTAACTCTAACATTATTTTCACAGAAACAAAAGTAGTTGAGAAATGTATGACTCACCATTCAAACTCTTCAAGTCATCCACGTTAACCTTTACAGCATCCATGGGTTTAACCTCGAGCATCGTTTTCACTGCCTGTTCTTCTTCTCTCAGATTTTTGTTGTCTTCTATAGTCTTCTTGGTTTTAGAATGATCACCACCAGTTAGTAAGTCAAGAAGCGAGTCCACCAGATGTGTGGCGTAATCAGAATCTTTGACAAAGTCTTGTAAACTTTCCGCGTATTGAACAGCTGTATCTGAACCATAAGTTTGATATACCATGTCACTTTCGTCCTTACTAAAAATAAAATCAACATTTTTGTTTGACTTCCTTTTGGAATGATCAAAACAAATAATTATAAAAGTTAACACAAGCATAAAGAAAATTTAAATTATTGAAAATAAGAAATTAAATTATAGATATGTGAATTAAAAAGGGCACTGAACAAAAATATTTCTTACTTCAAATTTGAAAATGCCGAATCATAACTTGGAGCATAAGACCCAAAAGCTCCGTAATACAAAGGTTTGATGGGTTTTGCAGAATTCCTTCTATCCTCTCTAAACCCTTGAAGTTGACTGGTACCTTCATTGATCTTCCCACACAGCTGTCCCAACAGAATTGGTCTTTTTTTGGTTCCGGGGATGACACCATCCCCTCCAACCAGTATATTGAGATGGGTGCTTCCATCCTTCTTTTGTTTTAGGTAACCCATGGTAGGAACACCACGTTTCATTACTGAGAAATTAAAATAACTAACTTTAACCTAATGATAGACAAGAAGTCACATAATGGTTATGTCAAATGATTAGGGGAGGTGTGGGATAGTTGATCAAGTGGGATACATGATCATTTAAGCCATATTCGAGCGGTCTCTTTGGTTTAAAAATATTTCCAACAACTTTTAGAAGCAGTTTTAATACTACGTCATGAATTTTGTAAGCGCTCAAATAAATGATTTTAAAACAGTGATGTCACTGTTAAGTTAACGATTTGTGAGTTTGTAAATCTCTAGCAACAGATAATTTTGGCCTCATATGTCAAAGAGAACCTCATGTAATATTACCAGAATTTTATGAAAAATGGATCGTTATATTTAAAATCCGACTTCAACCAGTTATTTAGAATTACAAGGTCAAGTTTTCAAAAATTTTAAAAATTATAAACCTTCATAATTATGCATTTTCTATGTTTTCTTATGACCATAATATAAATAATATTTTTTATCATGAATTTTATTGTCTATGCTATCCTCTATGATGTTTGTTATTATTTTTGACATTAATGACATTTCTATTTCCTCGAACCGATCAAAAACAGATGCAGCTGGTTAAACCTAATTTAACGTGACGTCATTGTTTTGTCACTCGAATGGGAATAGTTCAAACCGTTTTCAAATCGCATGAAATATATTTAAACCAGTAGACCGTTCGAATATGGCTTTACTTTTATCTCTTATTGGCTTGTTAAATCCTTAATTTTTTACCTGGAAATTAAATATTTGTGTAGAATTGGCAACAGCATACACTTCCGCGTTCGGTTAGTTCCCGCCATTTTTGACAGTTGGAAGTTTTGTTCATTTTAATGCAAGAAAGTTTTTTCTCAAACACAAAATCGTTGAAGAATGAAGCTCATTTATAAACCATTTTTGGTGACATAATGGATCAAAAATATGAGTAATAAAACGTTCAAGATTACGTTAATTACACAGAACTTATCAATATCTTTCAGTTGACATTCACTACTTTGCTAGTAAATAAATTCCACCTGTCAGTTGGTTAGTAACTAAGTGTTTCCAAGTGACATATTTCTGCGAAATAAATCCCCAACAAACGACCACAAAAAAATAAAAAAGTAAATAAAATCGAGAAAATAGTATAAAACACGTTGCAGAAGGCTATTCTCGCACTCATTAGTTCTGCAACTTGTATTTTAATATACTATTGTCTAGTTTGTCTTCGGCAGTTTGTTTAGTGCTTAAGGTTAGTATATTAGAGTTTCATCCTACTATCCTGAGAAAATGCAATATTTTGACTGATTTAACCTAACTTTTCATCATTTCCTTCCACAAAACATAAAATAAAGTAATTCCTCAGGGTTAATTCATGAAATTGTAAATTCTTGACAACATAAGTTCCTTGAGTTTGCAACGTTGCCATACTATATTGTTGAATTTTAATCGCTGGCATCACAAAACCACTGAAGTTCAAACTGGCATGAGGACAAAGAAATTAAGAGTGAAAATAAGATAGAAATTTTGAGCTCAGAGAGGAGGTTTAATTCACGCTGATATTGAGTCTAAATTGGAATAATAGACTCGTCTGAGGTAGCATCCCAATTTAATTTAGAAATCTAAAGTTTTGGAATTAAATATTTGCAGAAAAATGTGACTGATGAGATAACGCCTAAGGGGTTATATATGCGTTTTGTACACGATCGGTTTGTGATTGGGTTTACCAAATAGAAAAACCAACCATCAAGCGGGTCCCATTGAAGACCTATCACTTTAATAGTATTAGTTAGCGAGTTGACATCAAAATCAAGTGGGTTTTTCGAAAGTTCGGAAGCGGAAACATTGTCATTATTGGAACATTCATGTAAGCGAAAACCACCTAGTTGCATGACAGCATTTAATTCAAAAATAGTCCGTTTAGCTGTTGACAAAGTAGGACTAGAAAATACAAAGTCATCAACATAACAACAGTCCTTTATAACCCTGGTGGTTAGCGAAAATTTGTGGCCATCTTCAAAGAGTTTTTTTAAAACTCCTAAGACATGATACGGTGCGCTAGTGACACAGTACGTAATGCGGGTAAGACGATAGTCCTAAACAGGTAAATTTGGTGAAAACTGCCACATAATTCTTTGATAATCACAGTGTTGAGTATCAATCAAGATCATTCTGTACATTTGTTTAATGTCGGCACAAATAGCCCAGTGATGAAGACGAAAATTTAATAACATTTTCACAATATCTTGTTGCAGTTTTGGTCAAACATATAAATGATCATTACATTTTTGATTAGGCAAACGTGCGGAGGCATTGAAGACAACCCTAAGTTTAATCGAGATACTACTGGGTTTGATTATACAATGATGAGGGATATAATAAGAAATAATAAGAATAGATCGATTACAAATCTCTTCCATATGGCCAAGATCCAAGAATTCTTTTAAAAAGGCAGAATAATCAAAGTATAAGCTTTTATTTTCAATAGATGACGTTCTAGAGAGTAAAAATTGCTTAATGCCAGATCTCTGCTGCCAACGAAAGATGTAGGTAACAGTTTACATTTAAATGGTAATGAGACGATGTAGCAACCCTCATTTTTTTTTATCACGTGATAGACAATTAGATCTGAATGTAGATGTAACACATACTTTGATTACTATACGGTGCAAGAGAGAGGTCCGACACGCCCAACATAGGGCGCGGCCATTTTGATTCCTATGCCACAGTTTATAGCTAAAGAATCAGATCGCTCACTCTGCGTCGGCACTTTTGATCTCAATGTTCCAGTTTATACACTGCGCAACTCGGATAATACAATATATGACAACCGCCTATAATAAAACAGCAGTCTTCTGCGTATCCTGAATTTGTATCCCTGGAGTGGATGTTATTTTGGAACTTTCAACTGATCCGAGTGAGCTAACTGATTCTTTAGCAATAAACTGTAACTCCAAAAATAATATTCACTGACACTGACAGCAGCAAGCAAAATATCAGGTGCGTTTTAATCATCCGCTTCTGCTTCCGGAATTATCGGTTTAGTCGTTTTAACCTGTCAGATTAAAAAAAACCGACAATTCCGAAGCAGAAGCGGATGATTAAAACGCACCTATTAAAAATATTGCGCCAAGATGTAGGCAACACGTAATAAGGGATCAAAATGGCGGAGTTTTCTATCTCCTTTTAAAAGGCACTCAGAAAGCTGCGCAGTGCGACCATTCTCCGTATAGTAAAAGAAAATCAAAGTATGTGAGATGTAATAAACAAACGCTCTAGACTTTATTGGTCACGTGATAAAATGACAATGACAAGTTAGAATTTTATACTTTTTAAATTTTACTTTTGAGACTACAAATCAACCTAAATTTGAATCTAAACAAAAATTAAACAAACTAATCACTTTTATATTCATGCAAGCATAAACAAAGGATAAATTGACACACTTGGCTTCCAGAACACTTACTTTCTGGCATGGAACGAACATCTCATTCACATTCAAAGTAATCTGGACAAGTACATCTCGGATAAACAAACGCAGATGTAGATGTAGTAGACGTGTCCGATGTGGATAAACAAACGTTCGAGATGTAAAAATGCATCGGATGTGGATATTCAAACGCGGTAATTGTTACGAGAATGAGTATCAAGAAAAATGTTCTCACATATTTCATCGTCGTTAGAAGTAATAGGTGTTTCAGGTACCTCTTCAGTTTCCCAAAATTTTGATATGGTTGAATCAAGTATTGACAAAAAAAAAGGTTGAGGTAGACAAACTAGCAGGGATGATATTTTTCGAAGAATATATCCAAAAATTGTATTTAGAGCGTCCAGCTTAGATTGTTTTCCTGAAATATGCCCATTTAACAAAACTTTCGAATATACGTCCGCTTCCAACCTGGTTTAAAGAATTTCGGACAAGCAAAATTTAAATTGGACAAGTGTTGCCAATTGACAGAACGGATGTGATGCTGCCAAAAGAGCTGATTCAAATAATTGAACCTAAATGAATGATTAAACGTATTTGACACCTTACCTTGATATATCTTAATTGACGATCGGAAACGGGCGACACACATACAACGGTAGCAAGCGCACTAACTACTACGATTCTTCGAAAGGTTCCAAAGCATGAACCTTTTAGGTGGGGCAGTGTCAAAATATATAACACGAATAATTGAAATGAATAAAGAAAATTAAATCCATTTTCGAACAGTGGGTGATTTCTTTGAGAACTTGCAAACAGTACTTGACAGGGAGAAGATTATGCCAGAAGATATATGGAACATTGATGAGACTGGGTACACTATAGTGCAACAAACACAAAAAGTAGTAGCGCCAAAAGGCCAAGAGCAGGTTGGTCAAGTCATCTCGGGAGAAAGAGGGACATTAGTCACAGTGTGTTGTGCCATAAGCACCTCATGAAAATATGCACCACCATTTATGGTATTCCCTAGAGTTAATTTCAAGCCTATAATATCGGCTAATGATTTTAAATAGATGAGTGATGTTGCCCAACCATCAGTCAAAATGGTGTGTTGTTCCTTCAGCATTTTGTGAAATATTCTGGATGCACAAAGGAGAAAAGGCACTGATTATCATGGACAACCATGAAAGTTATATATCACGAAAGTGTTTAGATATTGACAAAGAAAATTGTGTGATTTTGCTGACATTGCCTCCACACTGCAGTCATAAACTACAGCCATTAGATGTTGCTGTATTTTGTTCATTCAAAAATGCATGTGACAGAGCTGCAACCAACTGGATAATAGATCACCCTTGTAGAGCCATATTAATATATGAAATAGCTGGTATTGAGGCAGAAGCCCTACCTATATCATTTATACCTAAAACATAAAGAGAGGTTTTCGTAAAACAGGTATTTGTTATCTTATTTATCAGATCGTCCACAATCGCAGCCATAACTTGTAGGTGGTGAAAGATCAAAAGGTGGTGATAAATCAGAAGGGATAGTAGCTGGTGACAAAATAGAAATTTAATCAGGATCGTCGTCAATTGAAATTTATCCACAAGCTGTAGGTGATAACCCAAAATTGGATATCCTGTGAGATCCTCAATCAAGCACATCTTCATATACATTCTGTAGCTAATGACCCAAAATTAAATAACGTTTCAAATCTCCAATCAAGCTCATCTTCATTTACACTTAGTCCCTCTGTTGTTGTACTATCCTAAGGCAGGAGTCCGTAAGAGTCTAACAAATCAAAGGAAGAAAGTTATATCTGCAATAATCACTGACACTCAAGTCAAAAGCGAACTTGAAGTCAAGCTAAGAGTACGAAAAGAAAAAAGCTCAAAACATCAAGAAGAAACATAAAAGAAGCAGTAACTCAAAAGTTAAAAGAAGAGTTTTTGAGGAAACATCAAGTGAGGAGGATGACTGATGATATTTGCTATGAAGAAAGTGGAGATTCTGAGACTGAAAACATACCACAAGAATATCAGATCCTTTTCGCCAAATGAAGAAAATTAACAAAAAACGAAAATTTGACATTGCATCTTTCAAAGGAGGTGAAAGACTAATTAATCTTTATAGATTTTTTTGTGTTATAGGTGAAGTACATGAAGAGCAAGGTGAACATAGAGTACTATCCATGGATAATACTTTGACATGAAAATTTTGAAGACATAATGGAGATAACGCCTGACCCAATAATTATTATGAAAGGTGAAAGAATGTATTACAAATTTCCTATGGCATTAGATATTTTTGAACATGCCTAGGATTTGAGATCAATATTCCAAGTTTGTTTTTTTTTTCTACAAGAAACACAGCTTTAATTGGTTTCAAATTACTTAGTATGAACAAGCTTTTGTAAAAAGCCTTCTTTCTTTAAGATTTATTGAAATTTTTTGTTATCAAACAAAAAACAAGTTGTTTCTAGTTTTTGTCAGTTTCTTTGTTTATGATTCATTCTACAATTGATAAGGTTACATTTTACAAATAAAGTTTTGATGAAAATTAATTTTTGGTGCTTTTATTTGGCAAATTTTAATCGAATGATCAAGTATCTCGGATTCTTGCTCAAGTATCCCTGTAGTAGGGAAAATTAAGCATATTTTCTAAAAATTTTGGAAATCCATCTCTTGTTTAAAATTATTTGTTTGAGGCGAGGGCGCTCAATTAGGTCAGGTTGGCCGAATGTTAGCTCTTAATTTATATTTTTAAATTTGCGCGCCGCGCCACTGACCAACGAACGCTGTGAATGTTTTGGTCGAGACATGCTGAGTAAGCACGAGAGTGAGTTGGCCATAAGCGGCAATCGCTGGTTGTATTCTGACAATAAAATCAGTTTAATTGAATTATCGTGTTTAAATATAATTAAAAATGAGTCTGAGTGATCAAGTTTCGATAATCAAATATTTAAACTTACCAGGTATATTATAAACTTTCTAAAACACTGAAAGTTTTTTCATACATCTGTACTGATACCTATATTCTGTCACTGTGAACACCCCCACGAGCCGCCACTGGGTCAGTGTTCTGGGCCAAACCTAACCCTACCTGCTTATAACTGACAGATTGAACAAAGATCTCACATATCCCCTATTCTTTCATTAATAGGGATCTGAATTTCAGTAAAATGATAATGTGGTAACATAGGTAATTAAAGTGCATTTATTTGTAAATCTTAAATCGAGAGGGAAGAAAATGGCAATATTTAAAAACAATAACTTGCGAGTATTCAAAAATCATAACAATATAAATTCGAAATTAACAATGTATATTACTTACACAGTTTAGCCCTAGCAGTTCTTGCAGCAATTTGTGATTTAGTCAATATCTCTTCAGGTGTCAATTCATCAGTTACAGGTTCAAACTTAGTAACAGGCATCTTTTTCTTCATTTCATGTGAGTGATCACTATCTTCATGATCATCTTGATGTTTGACAGCTCTCAGCTCAGCTGTAATTTCAAACCCAACATCTTCACTTGTTATTTCTGGAACCAAATTCAACATCCAACCGAGTTTTTCAGGAACCATGACTTTAAGAGCAGCTTGTAGAAGTTTTTTACTTGCCTTGTAGTACACTGTGTCTACATGGTTGTATTTCATTGCATTAGTACACATAAGTTTGAAATCTTCAATGAATTGCTAAAAAACAGAAAATTATTTCTTTAACCTGCATTTCAAAATATCAAATAATTAAGTAGCATAAAAAACAATACTTTCTTACATCTAAATGATTGTATTGGTTATCCTCAATTTTTTGCCTCATTGTACTAAAATCCATAGGATTAGTGATAATTGTAGAGTATCCAGGAGCAATATTATCAGTTACAGGCCATGCAAAAAAGTTCTGTGGATCTTTTTTCTCTAATTGAGTCAATAAGTGATCTAAACCTTTTGACAAAGGGGTCCTTTCTTGAAGTTTTTTTATCACACAAGTTCTAAGCTCACGTCCAGGACTCCCAATTTGGGGATAAATAGATAAGTCTTCTACAAAAATAAACATACTTAAAAAGTTAATTTAGAATATATTTGGTTAGTGTTACCATTATTTTCCTCATTTTCCTCTCGCTTTCGTTTTTTATCTTTATGATGATGTTTGTGCTTCTTCTCCCTATCCTTATTCTTGTCTTTCTTTTTTTTCTTCTTCTTGGATTTCTTATGATGGCTTCTAGAAAGACCGAAATAAGGATCGTTAGGATCAATTTGCATTTGTTCCTCCAATCCTTCTCCTACTAAAGGCAAAGTTTGTCCAAAATCAGGATTATGCTCTGGAGTTGTTTGAGATCCAACTTTCAGAATTAATTTTAGACCAGGTTTATCATCCTTTTCTCTTTTCTCGCTCTTGTGCTTTTTATGCTTCTTTTGCGGCACTGGAGATACCACTGGGGAGGACATAATTGGGATAAATCAATATTTACTTTTTTCTTTTATTAAAACGATTTGTTTATGTTTTATTTTATAGGTTAGCTTCATGACGTATATACATGTGACATTGACAGACTTAGTTCCAATTTTAGTTATTTTTTTACGTTAATTTATGAAATTTTTAAGGTTTTGTTTATTTGTGACCGATTTCTGAACTTTGTTACATATATTCCACTGCCAGTTTTAAAAACAGATTTATTAAATTAGGAGCCAAGAACGAATTGCAAATGAGAATTAATTTTTAACCGACTTAAATAGTATTCTTCGGATAGGAGGCCGCCTCAAACATGCATCCATTTCTCCGTATTTATAAACAGAACTATAACTGTTATGTACATTTAAGGATTTGTTATTACCCATCTCTAAATTCACGCGATATAACCGAACTTCGATTTTCGTTCAAGGACTCGGCCTAGTCCGACTCAGCTCACTCAGCTGAGTTCATGAGTTCTGTTTATAAATACGGACCTGTAACTCTGTAAGTGTTCTGTGGCCTGTGCTTGTCACTTGCAGAGTTGCAGTTGTGTCAGGGGTTGTGTTTTGTAGTTTATTTCACAGAATACTTTTTTCAATCGCAGCTCAAGTCTCAGGTGATTGTTATGGAAAGCTAAATTGTAAATATAACTCGAAATTTTGTCCCTTCTGGATAAAAATTTGGAATAGAAAAATGTATTAATCGACGGAAGTACCTGTTTTTAGTTTAAGTGTTCAGGGCTGTGATTTCGTCAAAGTAGGGTATAATATTGGAAAGTATCAGGTCAAAGAAAAATGGCACAAATGTACTTCTTGATCTTTCTTGGGCTAGTCTTAGGTGTTAAGGGTACTGAGGATAAGTTAGAAGCTGTAGTAGTGGTGAGAAAAAAATATTTTCTGTATTGTAGACTAGCTGACAGGTGATGTTAGTGAGAATATTCCACAATAGGTTTTAATTTTAGATATTTAGACATGGGGATAGGACTCCCGTGAAGCCATACCCCAATGATCCGTATAAAAATAAGTCTTATTGGCCTGTAGGATTTGGACAGTTGACGAATGTAAGTACAATATTTTATTACCCTTATAATTTTTTATTTTCTACCTGAAAAGGTGATAATTTTTTATTGGTTTACTTTATTACTTTGATAATTTGGAAGTTTTAAAATTACCTAATGTTATTTAGATAAGATAGCATTAAAAACAAAACCTTTTGTTTAATGAAAAGTATATTCATTAAGGGTAAAACTGTAGCAATATTAATATTTTGCACAAAAATGTCTCGATTTTTAAATAACAACTCCAAAAATTAACAGAAAATGCCCATTTCTGACACCTACCATTGTAATTTAGTAATTGGAGATTCCAGTGATAATGATAGATTGTAAATATTTATATTAATTAATATTAATAGCAGATTTAAACCCAGAGCTGCGGATTAGCACAATTTACATTATACAATGTATTGTATTAGATTCTGTAGTGCCAAAGAAACAAATACAAATATTTCCTAGATACCAAAAATGGTGGAATGAAAATGTAAAATCTGCCACAATGTATAGATATCTTGTGTATAAAAATATTCATTAGAAAAAACAAAAAAAAATGGAATGAATATAAAATACATAGAAATAGGGAATAGAGTCCTGTTAATGTAATAAAAACAGAAAAATATTTACGAAAGTAGGGAAAATTCCAAAGAAATGTGGAAATCTCTTGAATGTCTGTTTCAAAAAAAAAAAAAAAAAAAAATACTTGAAATAATTTAATAGAACTTGAACTAGAAAAAAATGTGATTATAAAAAATATTTTTGGCATGCCCAATGCTCTTAATAAATTTTAAAAATCGATTGCAAATAATATAATGATTGATCATACAATAGGTACTAGATTATCAAATTTTAGGCAGACAATGAACATTTTCTTGGAAAGTTTCAACTATGTATGGTGGATTCATTAAGATACATTCTGTCTGCAATAAAAAAAATAGAAGTATGACATTAACATTAATATTTAAAATATATATATTTTTCCAATCTCTCACCACATATAAATTAAATAAATTTGTCCATAGAAATTTCATAAATACCTAATGCTTTATAAATTGCTGTTAGTATCTGTTCCTAAGTCAAAAAACGCAAATAAAGCTGAAGATTTGATTTAAGACTTATTAGTATGTTTCAGAACATTAATAATATTACTAGAATACAATCGGGCTTCAAAGCAAGCATAACTTGGAATCAGCTTTTATTTATTCTGCCATGCTTTACTTGAAAGTGGTATCTCCAATTTTATGCTAAATTGAGTTATGGTGCTTAATGCATACTACACATCATTTTACTAAAAAGTGGTAAATGTCTTAAAATAAAAATATCAGCCCATAAAAATAGTCACATCACAATTATTAAGAAGCTTAAAAGTGGTCTTTAACTTTAAACTTCATTTTCTCTGTTTTATTTTTTGGCAGGTACCACTTTTAAGCAAAGGACGGCAGTATTTATTATACAGGAAAACCCCATTATATAAAAAAAAAATAATATACAATAATATAGAAAAATATACAATGTCTAGCCAAATATTTACATATTATAATAATGCAAATATTTACATACTACAATATTACAAACCTATTGAGATATTTCTAATGGTTTTTTTTAAGAATATAGATTGATAGAAAAACCAATATCTAAGTATTTGGTAAAAATTATGAAGAGCTGAATCTAAATCATTAACAGCAAGAAATTGATCCCAATTGATCGGTGCAAAATAATTATTTAAACTAATGTAGTCAGCATTTTTAAAATCAAAATAATATTCATTAGTTTTGAGTTTTTCATAGGAATTATCGATAATTAAGTGTGCATAAAAGTGCTTTATGATGGTAACTATAAGGTAATAACAGGTCAATAGGTTCAGATAGTTTCAGATACTGTTCTTGCTGGATAGTTGGCTGGACAATCTGATAACATGACATGGTCTTTTGAAGCCATGTCATATGTCCAATCAGCATGTGGTAGGTTGTAATCACCCATAAGATACAAAGAATTATCAGGGTATGAATTCATAACATATTCTACAGTGCGACAATGATCATTGTAAACTTCAACACTGGAATTGGGAAGAATGAAGACACCCCCCACCATTAATTATATTATTTATTTACCAATGGGCAACTGCACAATTAAAATACAAAATACAAGTTTAATGAAAGAGAAAATTTAAAACCTAACCTACACTGTAGAGAAATGTTAAAACAAAAATTACCATTAACATAAACAAGAGAAAATAAAATATTGAAAAAAAAAAACAAAGTAACATTGTAAATAAGTTAAATTAAATTATCTAGACATATCAAAATATTACATACATGATTTAAGCTGGGATTTAAAGACTTTGATTATCAAAGCAGTCCAACCTATCAGAATACTGATAAGCAAATCTACCCGACCTTGATAGAAAAGAATTATGTTAGTTAGTCCTCTATTGTCTAATATTAAATGGCTGAATAAGCCTTGTTTGTCTAGAAGGAACATGCATATTGATTTTTCCCAATGGCTCTGGACTACAGCTATATGAGTGCACTAGATTGTAGAATGTGGTAAGATCATTGTGCATGCATCTGATCTGAAGAGTGGTAATATTAAGGGACCTCTCACTTGTTGAGTATTTAATATCCTCAACTCCAAGGTGTTCCTTAAATGAAACAAATCTTAAAAAATTATGTTAAACTCTTTAAATGGCTTGAATATGACCAGACACATGAACAGTAATCTAAATGGGGCCTCACAAGTGAAACAAAACAATATTTATCAATAATTAACAGTAGTTTTTTTTCCATTTTTTAATGACACAAAAATTGGCTCAACTGAGATGTAACTTAAGCTTAAATTAGTAGGATTAAGGGATGATTTTACTCCTATTACCACTATATTTATAGGTGGTGTGAACATTTCTATCACAGTCAAATATTGAGTAGCAATTCCAGTCTAATTCGTTGTTTGAAAAATCAGGAGTGAGCCAAGTTTCAAGTCATTGCATAAAACTGAATGCCTTAGGTCTAACAGTTTGATTCGGATACAACCCACGTTTTGGAAATACACATTCAATTTTTTTTTTTTTTTTTAGTTGAATAGTAGGTTAACTGTTAATATATTTTATAAATAAGTCTCTCTCACCATTATCTAAAAGTTGCTTAAGTTCATCCAAAGCTTTTTTTAACTGATTTTGTTGAATTTTAGTCTTATCAAAACCAAGTTTGTATCCTTTAGCCTCTATTTTTTTACGGGAAGTGGCTGCTTTTTAACTTGAAATGAACATCGCTTTAATAGGTCGAGGTTTTGCATTATTTACTTTTATTAGTCTGTAAAGAAATAATATCAGTTCTTAAGGAGAGCACTTCATCTTCCAAGCATTTGATTCTTTGGTCATATTTGGCAATTAGTTTTTAATTTTCATCAGCTTACCATCCAGGTAATCTTTAATTTTATTAAGTAAGGAATCATCGGATGAAGGAACAGTGGAGCACATAGTGGGTCTACATGATAGACAAACAAATCGTTTAGTTGTAGGATTTTTCAAATCCTTGGCAAAATTATTGAAATCATCAGCTCACTGCAATTCCTATGAAACCAATTTGTACATTTACTGCAGCCTGTGCTGTAACTGCTTTTTTTTGTAATTGAAGTTGAACACTTTTTACAGTTTACTGCAGGCATTACTTACACTATTTTAAATATGGAACCCACCTCGTAAATTCAATTAGTGTTTTATATTACTGGAAATATAAATTTTATAAAAATTATCAATTGTTGGCTATTTTTATTGATCTCCAAAGGGCATTCGAGACTGTTGATCAATAGGTACTGTGATAAAAAAATGAATAAGTCGGAGTATAGTAGATTATGCATTGGAGAGTGGTGTGTAGATTATCTAATTAACAGAAAAGGAAGGTTAAATGTAAAACTAAGTGTAGTTTGTCGATAAACAATATAAAATCACAATTGGAAGAAATTCTATACAGTTAGTAGAAAAACTCAAATGCTTAAGGGTTAGTGATTGAATGCCAACACTGCTATCAAACATATTGCATTTTAGTTTAAATTTCCTATATAGAAGTTCAATTGACTTATGACTGTGCACTAAATGTACTATGTGGGGTGTTTCGCGAGGAAAGGAACATATTTAAAGGACGTTTTCTGGATATCGAAATAAGCAAAAATCTTATATAAACATGTGATGGGAAATACGTCCTTTTCAGTTACACAGCAACAAAGAAATGATAAAAATGCGTTTTTTCTTACATTTTTTGAAAATGATTAAAGATAGTACAGTGTTAATAACACCAGAGCTCACTGTACTGATAACACCAGAAATAGTAACAACCTCTAGGGTTAGTTAGTTTTAATTGTATTTGTTTTGACTTAGGTATATACATTTTTTGGTTACTAAATTTGTATATTGTGATATTAGCAAACTAGCTAAATAAAGTAAATAATAAAAAATAATATTTATTATCATAGTTATGTAGGTATTTAATTACCTACATGTGGCAGTTAACAACTCCAAACCAGAAAATTTTTAGAAAAGTAATTTTCCAGCCACATGTTGTTTGTTCAACTAGGTACTTAACAATTTAGTATATGATAAGTAAACAATTTCATTGTTAATCAGTTAATATGCAAAATTACGTTTTAGTTATAACGTGTTACAAGTGATGAGTGGAAATATATGGTATTTAAAAAAAAACTATGTCAGAATTTTTATTCTCTCATGTTGAAATAATTTTGGCGACTTTCAAAATATTTATTGTTATGTTTCTTAGTTTCTAATAACACGGTATGTTATTTATTTTAATACTTTGGTTTTACCCTTTATATTTATTTTTCCAATATTATGCCACTTTGACAGACATGAGATTTGTCAACGTTTGTACTATATTTTTTCATAGTTTAAAAATAAAGAATAAATAAGTACAGATGTAGTTTTTTGTTTATCAAGAATAAATTCTCGAAGAGGCAAGTGTTGGAAGTTTGTTACTGCTGTAGCAGCCAAATTAATCCAATCGATTGGTTGGAACTGATCGAGCATCTCACAATTATTTGTTATTATTAATCCATTGTTAAACCGAAATTTTTAAAGGAACAGTACGTCAAACAAGTATACTGTGCACTATGACAAACAACTACTAGACTATTTTTTACAAAATTACAACTATTACTAATGTGAGAGTTTCGGAATTGACTTCACAAAAGGCTCTAAAATGCATTAAAGGCTTTCAAAATTACATTAAGGAAGTATATTTGCATTCTTAATGCCTATGTTAATGCCAAAATTTTGTTACTTTTATTGCACTAAATGAAAGTCTGTAATATTTATATTATAAACTGAACTTCACACATAAAACTAACTTACTTAAAGTGGAATTCTCAAACAACCCTTAAACTTATCCTTTAACCTTCCTTTATAAAGGAGACTTGTGTGAACTTAGCGCTCAGCGCTGGCGCCCAATGTCAGCGCTTACCCCCTCCACAAAGAGAAGTTTACACTGCTTAAATTCATCAATACTTTACTTTGAGTAGTTACAATTTTTCATTTAGGTAATTTGTCTCCCTTATTAACTAGTAAAATTTATAATAATATATAATGAGATGATATGAATTGAACATAAAAATATAACAATATGACTTTACGTAACCACAGCGTTTTTTTTGTATTACATATCTTCTGGGTTTGCGGATTTTTAAGACCTATGAGGACTATAGGTAATATCATCGATAAGGGTATTATTTTTTTAAGAGAAAATGATGCGTTGTACTACATTCTGTCATAAGTTAAAAAGCACCCCTAAAAGAATATTATTTTTTACGAGGAAACGGCGCTTTGTGCCACATTCTGACTAAGTGGGATTTAATCAGGTATTTCACGACTACATTCCCTAAAAATGTCAGTTTTCTAAAACCCCAGCGTCATAGGTTAAAACGTACCCCTAAATATGTATTATTTTTTTACGAGAAAATTATGCGTTGTGCCATATTCTGGTTACATGGGATTTAATCTGCTATTTGAGGACTACTTTTTCTAAAAATAGCTGTTTTCTAAAACGCCGGCGTCATAGGTTTAAAAGCACCCCCTAAATAATTATTTTTTTACGAGGAAACGGCGCTCTGTGACACATTCTAACTGGGATTTAATCAGGTATTTCACGGCTACATTCCCTGAAAATTTCAGTTTTCTAAAACTCCGGCGTCATAGGTTTAAACGCACCCCTAAATATGTATTATTCTTTTACAAGAAAATTATGCATTGTGCCATATTCTGGTTATTTGGGATTTCATTTGCTACTTGAGGACTACTTCTTCTAAAAATAGTGGCATTCTAAAACCACGGTGTCATAGGTCAAAAAGCACCCCTAAAAGATTTTTTTTTCGAGGAAACGTCGTTTTGTGCCACATTCTGACTAAGTGGGATTTAATCAGGTACTTCACGACAACGTTCGAATAGCGTACGTTTAAGATAACGTTATATTTGAAGGAACCTTCCATACCTTAGGAGAGCATTTCTTGAATAATAATAGTATTTTAAGGGCGATTAAAGGGGGAGGTTAAAGTAAAGGAAGATTTTAAGGTGCGTTCAAGGATTCGATCCTTCTTCCATAACGACAAAAATATCGTATTAAAATAGAAAGGAACGTTCAAGGTACCTCAGTACCTTACCTATTACTTTAAAAGAAAGGAACGTTTGTGAAATAAAAAACAGTTCAGGTAAGGTTAACCTTATATTTAAAGGAACTTTCCTTATCCTAAGAAAGAAAAGAGTATTTCTTGAATAATAATAGTATTTTAGGGGCGATTAAAGGGAGGTTAAAATAAAGGAAGCTTTTAAGGTGTATTCAAGAATTCGACCCTTTAACTCTCAACTTTAACAATTAAATATCATTTTTTGAATACCTAAACTGTTCTAATTAAGCTGATCGTATTCTATTTTATAGTTTAAGGCACCGAATTCACAATAAAAACTTTAAAATTTGGCAAATGTCAAACTCTTGAAAGGAAATGTAATCTATTTTATATCGTCGCGGTTTTACGCATACCAGCACTCCCATATTTTCCTGTAATACTTACGTTGGTGCCATATTCCTTTTTTTAGACTATTAAAGGAAATTATATTACTATAAAATAAACAAATATTAATACTATGCTTAATAAACACATGTAGAAGCTTGTAGATTATTACATACTCAAAATATGTTTATTGTGTCTTTTTATACAAAATGATTCAAAAAATCTAATAAATTTTTAGTTTCCACGGAAACGTCTATTTGGAAAAAACATGAAAACAACCGATTGATAAAATCACAAGTCCGCAGGACGAGTAATTTTATCTTATATTATAAAAATTTGAATGACTCATGGTATTTATTACCTTTGATAAATTCATAAAACAATAATAAAAATTTAAAAACAATAAAACAATGATGAAAAAAAAAATTATTTAAACAAAAATTCCATACCATTAAAAAAATTAAACCCACTGAAGATAGCCGTCTAATTTGGGGCGAAAAACTTTGATACTGTAAATAACATTTTTGAAGTTTAAATACTAAACATGATCTCCAAGAAATCACCTAAAAGAATTTATTAATAATAGTATTATACTAGGACTTAATAAAAGTATTTTATGTCAAATACATACTTATTCTGTGACCTTTATTAAACATTTTTTTCCAGAGAGGCAAACAACAACACTACCAACTCGGGCAGTGGCTAAGATCTCGGTATGACGGCTTCATACCAGCCGCGTATTCAGAGAACGACATCTACGTCAGATCTACAGACGTTGACAGAACGCTAATGTCGGCGGAAGCAAATCTAGCCGGTCTCTACCCCCCGCCGCCGACCCAAACTTGGAACAAAGATCTCAAATGGGAACCCATCCCAATACACACGATACCTCAAAAGTCCGACGCTCTATTAGCGATGAAGAAGCCTTGTGCTAAATACACAATGCTCTACAAGAAACTGTTCAAAACTGAGTATTTCAGGAATATAAGCCATCAAAACCATGATCTGTACGCATATTTAACTAAGAATTCCGGTGAGCTAATATCGGATATATCGTCGTTGCAATTTCTGCACAACACTCTTTATATAGAAACTCTTTTTAACTATACACTTCCACCTTGGGCTACTAAGGTTTTTCCTAGCAAGCTGCAGCCTTGGGCTAACCTAGCTTTCGCTTTGGATACATTCACCCCAGAGTTAACTAGATTAAAAACTGGTCCCTTAATGAATCACATCATAGTTTTCTTCAAAAACCACACTATTTCAGCTCCAGATACGCATAAATTCCTGATGCTATCAGCTCATGATACCACGATAGCTGATGTACTTAATACATTGGGCGCGTTCCAATATCACTGTCCTCCATACACCAGCACAATCATATTCGAGTTAAGAACTCGCCTTAATGGTCAGATGTACATTAACGCACTTTACAAAAATTCCAGTGTCCCTCGACCAATCAAAGTTCGTAATTGCGATGTGGATTGTGATTTCGAAGATTTCGTTGAAAACTTGAAACCGTTTGCCATGACTTTGGACCAATGGGAAATCGAGTGTAGGATCCGTTGGGCATTCGTCTGGCCTCTGACATTCCAGTGGAACATCATATTGGTTTGTTCGCTTATAACTGTGATTTTGTTACTTTCGGCGGTGATAGTAGGCATTAAAAAAGCCAAGAAAGAAAACGATAATAATTACATACAGCTTCCAAATGAGGAGTACGCTTAAGGGATGAATGGGGTTCAGCGAGGTGGGTTTTTGGTATGAAAAATTCCGAGAAAATTTGTTTACAGGTCATTTAATCAAGTGTGTCATAATTTTTAGCTTGTAAATTGTGACTTTGATCTAACTATTACAATCTTTATTATGGGGTAATAATTTACAGGGTGATTTTGAAGTATTGTAATTCCTTTTAACAAATATAAAACTCGTCATATACTTTTTCCAAAAAAATGCATAACAAGGGAATAAAAAATACTTAACCCTTTCACTGCGGGAACAGGGTATATACGCAAAATAATCTTGTGTTCGAAACACGGGAACCGGATAAATACGCGCACCCTTTTTATGCACTAACTGCGGAACCCGACCGAATACGATGTATGTATGTAATATGTGTTGCCTATAGATGATATTTGATTTTGTTCAAGGAGTCATTTACCACAAATTTAAACATATGAATGTTTCACTGCGGGAACCGTATAGATCAGCGCTTTCTTCTCAGATACGTACTGTCATATTTTTTTTACTTGGTAGTGCGCACGCATTGTAATTCTTTGTTCTCTTTTGGGTAAGATAACTATTCAATCAAGACACTTGATAACTGTGTTTCGTGTCTTTTACATTTGGAATTAAATATTTAATCGAATTGTGGCTCGATCTCTTAGATAAGTGGTTAGTTGAACATAGTAAGTATATATTATTAGTCAATAAGAATATTTTATTCATGCTTTCTTCATATTTTAGATATAAGAACGAATTGCACGAAGTTCTAATCTAGTTTTGTTTAGTATGGCTCGCAAATATCTTACCGAATCCGAACTTAACGAAGTTTTAATGAATAGTGACAGTGAGGAGGAATTTGTTTTGTATGAATCTGATCAAGAAAATGATACATCTGACAGCGAACTGGAAAATGGGGAGAATGTAGCATCCTCATCAAATTCTAATAAAAATGATGATGAATTGGAAAATGAAGAGATTGCAGCTTCCTCATCAAATACCAGCACTTCAGTTCCAAAAGCCAATCATCGAAAAGTCTCAATGTTTGATTGGGAAAAAGGAAATTTACAACCAGCTATTCATAATTTTGTTGATAACAAATCAGGGTGTATGAAGGAAAACTTTATAAGTAACCCGAGTATTGTAAGTAGTTTTAAAATATTTTTTACGGTAGAGTTTGTAGAAAAAATTGTTGTTCAAATTAACAATTTTCACAAATACGTTGTGGAACAAGGCGCAATTGAAGATAAGTCGCGTATTGCAAAGTGGAAAGACACAGATGCGGATGAGATATATTGTTTTTTAGCTATAGCCTTTCTCATGGCACAACTTAAAAAACAGAAAATTAATGCCTATTGGTCAACGGATACTTTTTTGTCTACACCTATTTTCCTCCAAATTATGGGACGTGATAGATATTTAAGTTTATTGCGTATGTTACATTTTTCCGACAACAATACCGTTGAGAAAGAAGACAGTCTATTCAAGCTGCGGATGGTTATAGATCATTTAAAGCCCACTTTTCGAAACGTTTTGTATCCATTTCAGAATGTTTGTATTGATGAAAGTTTAATGCTTTTTAAGGGAAGGTTGGCATTTAAACAATATATACCTTCCAAAAGGCACAGATTCGGTATTAAACTATTCCTCTTGTGCGACTGTGAGACCGGATATATTCTAGATTTCATTATTTATACTGGATCTAATACCGAAATCAAAATATTTAATGAAGATTTAAAAATTACGGGAAACATTGTATATACGTTGATGGAGCCCTATTTAAATCAAGGGCATACTTTATTTGTTGATAACTGGTACACCAGTCCACTTTTGTTTGATCGGCTACACAGGGATAAAACAAATGCATGTGGCACGGTAAAGGCAAACAGAAAACACATGCCACCCATGAAAGAAAAAGTAGCTAAAGGTGAGTTAGTTAGCTACAAGACTACAAATATGCTGGCATTAAAATGGGTAGATAAACGAGAAGTTCGAATGCTTACCACACTTCATTCTAACAATATGAAGGATAGTGGTAAAAAAACAAAACAAAATGTTTCTATTCTAAAACCAGAATGTGTACTAGATTATAATTGCAACATGGGGGCTGTAGATAGAACAGACATGCTTCTTAGTACCACTGAGTCTGTCAGAAAGTCCATTAAATGGTATAAAAAGTTATTTTTTCATTTATTGGACTTAAGTTTGCTAAACGCCCATGTATTATATAATATTACCACTGGCAAAAATATTCCACTCGCAGATTTTCAATTATCACTTGTTAAAGAAATTATTGCTGAACATCACAAAATAAAACCCCGAGCCTCAACCAGTAGTAAGCCCGACGATGCTCATTCTCCTTTACGTCTCATTGAGAGACATTTTCCTTCGATGTATGAGGCCACCGAAGAAAATAAAAGACCGCCATGTAAGCGATGTGTTGTATGTGCAAAGAGTAAAATTAGGAAAGAAACTCGCTACACTTGTGTAAATTGTAATGTTCCTTTATGTGTTGTTCCATGTTTCGAAAGATATCATGTTGTCAAAAATTTTTAATTTAGATTCTAATTTGTTATAGAATTCTTTATAGTTTCTACTTAAAATATTTTACCTCGGTTAGTTTAATTTGTTTTTATTATTATTCTTTTAATTAATATGTGAATCTGTTTTGTAAAAATCAAATATGAAATAAATATATTTTGATTATATGTATATTTTTTATTTTGGTTACTTATTCCTTATTTCATAGGCTCAATTCAAAATTAGGAATAATTGTAAGTACGGCTCTGTACTGAATATGTTGACACACTGCGGGAACCGTCTTAGTACGCATTGCATTTCTTCGCTTAACTGCGGGAGCCGTGTTGATCAGCGACGGCCCTCAACAGCCGTACTGGAGACCGAATTGCTGAAAACGCTAGCCGCAGTGAAAAGGTTAAACACTAAAATTATTTCAGTTTTTGTGTACGGACCTGTCTCTGTCTCGCTAAACTTAAATATCACCAACCCGCGCCGTCCGGCTACACTAATTGTAAGTGCTGCATGTGCCAGGACCGTACTTTGTTAAGTTGGTTTAAGAAGTTTTGAGGAAATGTAAGTGTTTTTTATGAATATTTTGATCAAGTTTAAAATACGAGTTTTAGACATAGGAATTTCGAATTAAATCCCTACTAAAGGGAATGACAGTACAATGAAATCACCCTGTATATTTCATATAAATTTTCCTAAAAATAAAAGTTTTTGTATAGGTCACATCTTGTTTATAAGCCATACCTTGAATATTCTTCAGATTCATCTATATCTACAATTATTTTGGTTATTATGAAGTTAAGGTTCTTTAATTCTTCTGCCAATATTTTTTTTTATATTGTTGCAAAACAAAACTAATATCTTGGTTTATATAGGAATTTTGACATGTGATAAATATATAATTTCGAAATTCAATCTTTTAAGTCAGAATTTCTATTCGGTGGAAGTTGTTCATGTGTCATAATTTGAAAACTAAGTTTTATTGGCAAGACAACGGATTGTCATATACAATTCATATCCAGAAATCCAACCTTATGGTGTCTGGCAATAACCACCTATTTTTTTTTATTGTATTAATAGCAAGTATGGTCAAGTAACGCATTATTTTATAGGTAATTTTATGGAGAATTCAACAATATGAATATTAATTGTGTTGATTTTGATTTTAGCGCACTTCGGCTGGATAAAAACTGTTAGTATTGCAAAGTGCCACACTTCGTTTGAAAGTTAATCTTATTAGTAATTTAATGCACAATATAACAAAACATAATTTAATGAAACATGAACTTAAATAATTGAAAAATCGTGCAGATGTCGAACTTTAAGAAATACAAAATTTAATCACAACCAAAGCAACAAATTTATGCTTGGCATTAAATCATTAATAAAATAAGTAACGAAATTAATAGCCAAATTGTTAAATTATCCATAAAATTACTTTTCAAATGGCGTTACTTGACCATACTTGCTATTTAAAAAGAAATAGGGGATTTCTATTAGGTTAGATTTCTGGGTGTGCATTTTAATTTTGAAAAACTGTTTCTGAGTTTGTGGGGGGGAGGCAAGTTATCGTTGCTACGCCCTGTGTATTTTATTACAATGGCAATTTAGGACTGATATTTCTGACTTTAGTTGGGTTTGATTTTTATCACAATCTGTTTCAAAATATTTGTCTTTTATTTTTAAATAGGATTTCGGCTTAAACCTTGTAATTTTGACATTTCTTTTGTTTTTTTTTTGTCACATACTCATTTATGAATTATTATGACACTTATGATTAATTATTAATACATGGTTTTATAAAACTGACTTTAAAGTTAGCAATTTGACCTTAACATCTGATGGTTATTTGAACACTTATAACTTGAAATAGAGAATACTGAAATTAAAATTTTAACATTTTCATTGAAACAGGACAGTAGAAATCAATGTATATTTTAGAATAATCAGAGTGTAGGAATTTTTCAGCAAAAATCTCTTTGTTGTATTATAACAAATTATCTAGAATCTAAATTATCTTAAAATGAATAATTAAAATTTCTTAAAAGAGACCAAATAATGTCATGCTCGCTAGAAGCACTGCTATTTTATTGTATAAAGTCTGATATAAATTAATTTTTTTAATGTTTATTTATATTACTTTTACAAAAAAAGAACTGAAAAATGTTACCTGTTTTCTAATTATTTAAATGTAAAATTGGGTTGTGTTATTGCTGTTGGTTATTGATAGATGCCATATTTTTTTATTATTGTTTCATTATTGCTTTATTTTTTATGCATTATTTTTTTATATGTTGCATCTTATTTAACGAGGCGAATCTATAAGGGAGCGTAGCGAAAATCAAAATACTATTTATAAAGCTGCGACTTTAAGAATAATCCAAAATCGTTGAAAATTAAAAAAATTAGATAATCAACTTTTTGGACATTTTAATATTTTTATTGGTTTCAAACTGACGAGGTATCAAACATTTATTGTTTCGTAGAGAATCTGTATATAAAATAATGTTATGAATACTGCATTTCAATATACAGTGATCACCATAAGTCTTACCCCCCTATCTAACTCGTTACTGGAGCCTTGTTAGGAAAATCGCCGAGACAGGTCGATTTTTGATTTCTACAATGTACATTTTTGTATGAATAGTTTACCCTTAATTTCATCCCTTACTGGAGGGGAGCAACCCTTTCGAAAAATTTAAATGGCATGGGGTGGTGAGTGATAGCTCAT